CTGCGTGTCTCAAAACAACAGCTGTATTCTCTCACAGTCCAAGAGGGCCACGCTTCCTCTGAAGGCTCTGGGGAAGAATCCTTGCTTGACTCTTCCTAGCTCCTGGTGGCTCCCAGCAATCCTTGGTGCTCCTTGGCTTGTAGCTGCATCACTGCAGTCTCTGCGTCTATTATTACGTGGCCTTCTTCCCCGTGTGTTTCTGTGTCTGAATCTTCCTTTCTTTTCCCTCATAAAGATACCAGTCATTGAACTTAAGGCCCACCCTAATCCACTATGACCTCACCTTAACTAATTACCTCTGCAAAGACCTTATTTCCAAATAAGGTCACATTCTGAGGTTCCAGGTGGATATGAATTTTGGGGGCACTATTTGACCCAGTACAGGAAGCATTGCTCATTTCTTCTGCTATTAGAAGTAAATGCACTTGGGATCACACAGCTTTGTAGTTAAACTACTTGAAGAACTGCATAAATTTCCCCCTCCCTTTAAATTAGAAGCAGATCAATGAAGAAACTTTTTTTTAAACCTTCATCCACAGGGACACATTTCATTTGCCTATTACTTTAGAAGGCAGCTGCTCTCTTCTTCTGCTTCTCCAGCTGTGTCTCAGACTGGCCCCTGTCTGCTGAGGCATTCCAGGGGGTCCTGCCATTTGCCAGAGTTTGGATCCAAGTTTTTGATATTTCTTTTATAAGTGGCTCAGACCCATGAGGAGATATACCTCTCTGAATTCTATTTGAGTCTCAGTCCTAAAGACTCTTTATAAATGGTCTATTTGGGACCCCCAGTGATTTATAGATTCTTCTCTCAATGGAGTAGAACCTCCTTTTAATGGATTGCTGGGAAATAATCAGGAGCATTTTAAAGCACCTAATGTGTGCAGAGTTCTTTGCATAGTACTGGGGTTGGAGAAAAATGGAAGACATTTTTTACTCTAGAGATGCTTTCAATATAAATTGAAGAGAATACACACACGAAACTAAAAATATTTATAAGGAGAGGACCGAAGACAATGTGATTAAGTGCCGGGAGGGAGGCAGGAACTGTATCCTTTAGAGATTCAAAGGAAAGAGATCACTTCTGGCTTGGGATTGGAGCAGGGTTAGGTTTCAGGGAGGAGGCTGCCTTTGAGCTGGACCTTGAAGGGTGAATAGGGTTTCGATAGGTGAAGTTGGAAGGGAGGTTGTTCAGAGGTGGAGGGAGAAGGAAATGCCTGGGGATATAATGGTCAGGAAACAGTTCAAATTAACTGGAGCATGGAGAAAATGTGATAGAGGATGAGACTGAAAAGGTAGAGTGGAGTAAGATTGTGGCAAATGAGTGCAGGCCAAAGAGTCCAGATTTTATTTGGCAGATATTGAGGTATATTAGCTTTCTTTAACAGGAGGCTAGCAGCTGAGCATTGTATATTAAGGAAGAGAATCTGATTTGTTTAGTGTGATGCAGGAAGTGAAAGGAGATTAGGATCTGACTTTAGGACAATAACAGTGATAACAGGAAGGCAGGGACAAAAGCAAGAAGTCTGTTGTACTAGAAGCAATAGTACTTGTTTACTGAGTGCATATGTGTGGGGGCAGAGAAGGGACTCACTGCTTGTTGTCGCCTCCCCGCCCTTTATTTTGAAAAATGTTAAAGTTACAGGAGAGTTGCAAGAATATTATACCAAATACTCATACAACAAAAGGAGGAGCAGGTTTGGACATGTTGATCTCAAGAGACTGGTATGAGAGCCATGTGGAAATGTCTTTTAGATTATTGGAGATGCTGCAGCTGGTTTACAAATATCCCCCATCTCAGTAGATGGGAACATAATCCCTCCAGCTACTCAAGCCAGAGAGAAACCTTTGTTTCTCTCATATTCATATCCATATCCATCAGTAGATGCGACCATCAACATTTTTTTCTGAATCCAAGTACTTCTTACTACCTCCGCTGCCACCATCTTGGTCCAGGTCGCGATCATCTCTCACCTGGATTGTTGCAGTTGCTTCCTGGCTAGTTGTCCTGCTTCTCCCGTTGCTCCCTACAGGCTCTACCCACTAGCAGCCAGCGTGATCCTGTTAAAATGTCAGATCTTGTCTTCTGGTCAAAACCCTCCAGTGGCTTCCCATCTCACTCAGTAAAAGCAGACCTCTTATAGCAGCCTACAAGGTCGTGTGTTCTCTGATCCCCTTGTTATGTCTCTGATCTCATTTCTTACTACTCTCCCCCTTGCTCGTTCTGCTCCAATTACACTTGCCGCCTCGAACGCCCAGGGCCTTAGCACTTGCTAGTTCTGTGTGTAATGCTCTTTCCCAGATACCCTTATCTCCTTCGAGTCTGCTTAAATGTCATTTTTTTTATCCTTCTTTGACCATGGTATTTAAAATTGCACCCCTTCTGCCCACTCCCTGCCCTGGGCACTCTAATCTTTGTTTGCCCTATAGCGTGTTTGTCACCTTCTGATAGTATGTAATTAACACAGTCTATTATCCATCTGCCCTACTAAAATGAAAGGCCTTAGAGGGCAGGATTTTTGTCTTTTTTGCTCACTGATGTATCTCAGAGCCTGGAACTGTACCTGGCATTTTGGCGATCAGTGAAATGTACTGAATGAGTGAAGTGTCATAGGACTCTTAAAGATGAGAAGTATTACAGGAGCTATAGAAGGGTCACCTTCAGCTTCATGGAGAAGGTGATGCTGAACAGGCCTGAGAGCAGTAGGATTTACATTCTTGAATTTGTCAGGCGGCCTGTTAAATCTCTGGCAGTGGGCCAGATAAAAGGCACATCTTCTAGAACATCTAAGCCTTCACATGTTGTGGAGAGAATGAATAGAGTGGTTCAACAGACAGTAGAAAAGGCTTTGTAGGGGAGAAGATCAGAAGGAGGCTGGAAAGACAGGTAGGGGCCAGGCCAGGGAGATAGAAGAAACGCTCATTTTAATATTTGCCTAAGCTGAGTACAGAAGGCACACCTACTGCTTTATGAAGAATTCCAAATCCAAGTCCTGTGGAGGCATGCCAGGGTACCGCTCTCACTTGTACATGAGCCGATGGAGACACTGTCTGTTATCTGCTCTTTCTGGTGTTTCATCTTATTTAATGAATCCAGTTTTGAAGGGCTTCTCACTTTAGCTGCTCCAAGCCCTGTGGGACAGATCTGGCAAATTAGAAAGCTCTAGAGTTGTGCTGTCCAATAAGATAGCCATTAGCCACAAGCAGCTAATAAATTGAATTGGATTAAATTAAATGCAATTAAAAGTTCAGCTCCTCAGTTGTGCTAGCCACATATCAAGTGCTCAGTAGCCACATGTGGCTGTTTGCTACTGTGTTGGGTAGGGCAGATGTGGAACATTTCCATAACCACAGAAAGTTCTATTGGATTGTGCTGTTCTAGGTATCAGTGGGTGACCCGAGTTCATTATGGTATCTTGCTAAAAAGATTTGGCCAGCCTAGCTAGCATTTAGACCTGATTAATGTCTTTATCAGTCTTTGAGTACCTAACTTGTTAGACCTAGTCCCTGCTCTCCAGGAGCTTGCAGTCTGTCTAACACATCAGGTAAACACATGTGCATGGGGATGTAAAAACACGAAACCAGTAATCCTCTCACATCTGTTAGAATGGCTGTCATCAAAAAGACAAGAAATACGTGTGTTGGCGAGGATATGGAGAAAAGGGAATGCTTGTGCACTGGTGGTGAGAATGTAAATTGGTGCAGCCACTATGGAAAACAGTAGGGAGGTTCCTCAAAAAATTAGAAATAGAACTACCATATGATCCAGCAATCCTGCTTCTGGGTATTTATCCAAAGGAAATGAAATTACTATCTTGTAAAGATATCTGCACCTCCATGTTCACAGCAGCATCATTCACAATAGCCAAGACATGGAAGCAACCTAATGGATGAATAGATAAAGAAGATGTGGTATCTATACACAATGGAATATTATTCAGCCATAAAAAGAAGGAAGTTTTGCCATTTGCGACAACATGGGTGGACCTTGAGGGCATTATGCTAAATGAAATAACTCAAACAGAAAGACAGGTACTGTATGATCTCACTTATATCTGGAATCTAAAAAAAACAAAAACAAAAACAAAACTGAATTTATGGATACAGAGAACAGATTGGTAGTTGCCAGAGGTGAGGGGTAGAGGGTGGGTGAATTGGGTGAAGGTGGTCAAAAGGTACAAATTTCTAGTTATAAAATAATTAAGCCCTGGGGATGTAATATATAGCATGGTAACTATATTTAGCAATAATATATTGTATATTTGATAGTTGCTAAGAGAGTAGATATTAAAAGTTTTCATCACAGGAAAAAAAAACCCCAATATCCAAATTCAACCTACAGAAGATGAAGGCATATCTGGAGGTGGAGAACAAGTATAAATATGGTTCTGTGATGATATCACAAATAATTACTAAATCCCTTAAAAGCAATAACATTTCCTAGTAAAATCAGGGCTGTGCATGTTTCAGGCTTTCACTGCTGATGGAAATGCTGCATTGGGTATTCCTCACCACCCCTTTCTTCCAGAAAGATCCCTCTAAGCAGAGGACCTACTTTCTCTAATATCACTGCAAAACAATCTTTCTAGCTTCAGTAAGCCATATCTAGTAAGTATAAATGAGAGGAGAAATGTGTCAAAGTAAACAGGAGATGTTTTTCTATCATGTCTCCCTTAGATGCAGCTAGGATGCAGATTTTTTTTTTTTTTTTTTTTTTTGCAGAGGAAGATTCACCCTGAGCTAACATCTGTGCCTATCTTCCTCTATTTTTCAGTATGTGGGCCACCAGCACAGCATGACCACTAACAGAGTGTTGTAGTTCTGTGCTTTGCAGCTGAACCCGGGCCACTGAGGCTCAGCACGCTGAACTTAACCACTAGGCCACTGCGGCTGCCCCCAGAATTTGTATTTTCTTTGAAGAAGAAGATGATTATCCCTGAGCTAACATCTGCCACCAAACCTCCTCTTTTTGCTGAGGAAGATTGGCCCTGAGCGAACATCTGTGCCCATCTTCCTCTACTTTATATGTGGGACACCTGCCACAGCATGGCTTGATAAATGGTACGTAGGTCTGCACCTGGGATCTAAACTGGCGAACCCCAGGCCACTGAAACAGAGTACATGAACTTAACTGCTACGCCACTGGGCCGGCGCCTAGAATTTGTTTTAATATTCTCTGAGAGTTGAAATCGATTTGGAAATATTTCTCTCTACCCCGTGCTTTATATTTTAAACAACTTTTCCTTTTATTCTTCCCTCCCCTCTGCTTTATCAGATCCTCTTGATTTGCACTATTATAAAGGTGCATGTGACGTCTGAGTGTGTCTCTGTTTGTGAGTGAGCATGTGAGGCATCTGTGTGTAGAGAGAGATTCTCCACAGGAGTGAGGAAGGTCTTGGTGTCCGATTATGTGAAGGAGTCTTCCATTACAGCAGAGACAATCCATGTGGCCAGGGTACCGTGTGGACAGAACCTCTGGGGTGAGGTTCTCTTCTGTTTATCCTCTTCAGTCCCTGCCACTCCCCACACCTAGTCCCCATCACCCTTCCTAGGTTCTGAAATGATCCCACTTCCCTCAAACTCTGCTTTCCTTTTCTGCTGATCCCAGTGTATCTGTCTGGTTAGCTCCTTCATATATAAATCCTAACTTCAGCTTCCCCACCACTTTCCCCCAATTTGCTCAACTTGTATCCATCTTTTCCCTATATGGCAGGGCCATTTTTCATACTTTTTTGAATTAGTTACTTGTGGAATTCTTTGATGATCCAGTTTTCCACCAGGAGTTTTTCTTGTTACATTTATCTTTTTTTATACTTTCTGTCAGATGGTGAGAACTGGATTGAGGATCAGTTAATTATAAAGCAGAAAACTCTTGAAGTGGGGATACGACTGCATGAAGGATATGAATGTGAACAAAAATGAGAGGGAGCCTGTGAATGTGGACAAAACTTTGGTAATATCGCAAACCTTATCCAACAGCCACAAACTCTTACTGAAATCTCCAGTGTGTAACATATGTGGAAAATTATTCAGGCGGAACTCTTACCTTGCTCAGCATGAAAAAATCCACAGACAAGAGAAACCTTATGAGTGTCATGAATGTGGAAAAGCCTTTGGCCACAGTTCAAACCTTTTTCAGCATCAAAGAATATACTGAAGAGAAACCCTATGAATGTAGTGAGTGTGGGAAGACCTTCCGGCGCACCTCACACCTCACCCAGCATCAGATAATTCATACAGGAGAGATGCCTTACATGTGTAACGAATGTGGAAAGGCTTTTGGTCGGAGCTCAAGTCTTCTTCGACATCAGAGAATCCACACTCGGGAGAAACCCTATAAATGTACTGCATGTGGGAACGCCTTTAGTCAGAGCTCAAATCTAATAGAACATCAGCGAGTTCACACCAAAGAGAGACCATATGAATGTAATGACTGTGGGGAAACTTACAGTCGTAACTCGCACCTTCTTGAGCATCGGAGAGTCCGCACAGGGGAGGCTCCTTATGATTGTAATGAGTGTGGGAAATCTTTTAGTAGGAGTTCACTCCTTATTAAACATCATAGAATTCACACTGGAGAGAGACCCTATGAATGTCGTGAATGTGGGAAGGCCTTTAGTCGGAACTCCCACCTTGTTCAGCATCAGAAAACTTAGTGGAGTCAAACCCTTTGAATGCAAAGAATGTGGAAAAACCTTCAAGTGTAGTTCCTACCTTATTGATCATCTGGGAATCCATACAAGGGAGAAACCATGAATGAAATGAAGGGGGTCAAGCCTTTGATCAGAGTTCACCTCTTATTGAACATCAGAGAACTTGCGCTGGCGAGACACCCTTTGGGTGCAGTGAGTGTGGACGGCCTTCAGTCCTAGTTCAACTCTTATTCAGGCCCGAAAGTCTGCATAGTGGACAAATCTCATGTGTGTGTTCAGTGTATGAAAACCGTTAGGAGTTCTCGCTTTGTTCAGCATCAGCAGCTTCACTTTGGAGGAATGATGGATAAGGGAAGAGCCTCTTTTGTGTTGAGAGTCTACACGAAAGGGGCATTAATGCAGCACCACAGAGGTGATGACTAAAGTGGAACCTTTCGCACTTCTTTTATTTGATATGGATGATCTACATCAGAGGGAGATTCTATGCTTTGCATTTCAAATCTCCATAGACATCCTTCGAAAATGGGATGAGTTAGGTCCATTCCAGGGGAGAAAGAATCAGAGAATTCTGGATTCAGACTCATAGATCAGGGAAGCAGTAGGGTGACCTTTGAACCCAATAGCTTTCCTTCTGTCTCATCTGTCCTGTTTGTTGTAACTGTAGATGGAAATGTCTCTTGGGTCTTCTCGGGCCAATATTTCGCTCCTCAGTGTCCTGCAGACTACCGAATCTCTTTTTGTTTTATATGACATAAATGCACTTAATAAATGAGCAGATTTTCTAAGCCAAATAATTTCTCAGTTTGGCAAGTCATGATTTTGTCATGGGTCAGCTTGGGTGGGCTGAATTGCCTTTGCCAGGATTCCCCTTCTTGTATGTTTTAGAATTCCCTTTCTTGTATGAGTAGGCTCCAAGGAGATTCTTGGGAGATTTGGAGGCAGAAGAAAAGCAGCAGTTACTTTATAGCTCACACACATTGTTGCTGATCTGCCGGCTCACCTGTGAGGCAGCCCTGGGGCCTGCAACTGTTCCACCTTCCTCTGGATCCTCCTGTGCCCTCACTGGGCCAGGTGTGTGTGTGTGTGTGTGTGTGTATCTCCTTCTGGTTCAGCTTCTGTGTGTGTGTATCTCCTCCCGGTTCTGATTCTCCTGGTTCTGCTTCTCTGATTGAATCCTAGCGACACACATACTTACTATCCTTCTGACAAATACACGTTTATTTCAAGTTTAGGTAGAAAGAAATTGTAAACTTCTGGCCGTTTTTTAAAAAAAGAACCTCAATAATAATTTTCAAGATTTCCTATCAGAAAAAGCTACCGTTCAAACTCCACTATGACAAAAACTCCATCATAACCTGAGGCAGAGCTTCACTACCATGTCATTGTTGAGGAAGAAGTTTGCAAAGCAGTTGAATAGTGTGATACCTAATTGATTGATAAAATTTAAAAAAAAGCTTTTGAGCACCCATTTACCATGAATTTTTTTTTTTTTAAATTACTGAGATTTTTATTTTTTATTTTTTTTCATTTTTTTCCTTTTTATCCCCAAAGCCCCCCGGTACATAGTTGTATATTCTTAGTTGTGGGTCCTTCTAGTTGTGGCATGTGGGATGCTGCCTCAGCGTGGTCTGATGAGCAGTGCCATGTCCGTGCCCAGGATTCGAACCAACGAAACACTGGGCCGCCTGCAGCGGAGCGCTGGAACTTAACCACTCGGCCACGGGGCCAGCCCCTTACCATGAATATTTTAATCATTAAAAGAAGTTCCAAAAGTACCTCTACTAGGAATAGTAGTACATTATTAGATTTATTCTAGGTATCTGAGAGAACTCCTTACTTTGCTGTAAATGCTTATTTTTGATCTGAAAAAATCAGATTACTTTTCCTCTAGTTAGTCTGGAATAGTGATTATCTAAAAAAATGAGACTTATATCATGGACTCTTGAAAGTTGCCTCTCTCCTGTGGCCTCTGTGCCTGGTCTGGTGCTGTGCACGCAGTAGGTGTTCAGTGGATGGCTGTGGGATGAATCTGTTTACTGGAAACCACAGTTGTCTTGTTTGTGTCAACTCTCCTCTGCACTCCTCCACCTTCCTTCCTCCACCATCCCTATAGGTGATTATTGACAGTAAGGGTTACCTTGCTGTCTGGATGTCCTGAGTATGAACTTACACTCTGTTAGGTCAGGTCTGAGGTCTGAGCTACTGTGCCCACTTACTCCACTTGGCATGTGACCCTCCACAAATCCTTCTCCCCTCCTTACACCACAGAAAGGGCCCTTTCCTTCTTGGGGGGGTCTGAGAAGATTCAGGAATGAGACAGGGCTTGATGAGCTGGGTGTGAAGGTGGGGCAGGATGCTTACCGTCAAGAGAAGTATTGCACGGAAGGGCACCCCAGGACAAGGTAAGTGTGCAGGGTCACATGCCAGGCCCCAAGGGCAGAGGCCAGGAAAGGGGAGAAAGAGTTTGCCTAGCAGTATCAAAAGCACTAAAGAGGGGCTCTGGTTCTTTGGGCACAAGTATTACTAGTGGACAGACTAGTTCACTGAGCTCTTAGAGCTCACTCAGGTGACCAACTCAACCCAATTTGCCAGGACTTTCTCAGTCCTAGCATTGAAAGTCCCACATCCCAGAAGATGCTCAGTCCTGCGCATATCACGATGGTTGGTCACCCGAACCCATGGTGACCCCATCTCCCTGCCCCCCTCATGGCTCTTGGCGGCAAGAAGACACAGTGAAGCGGGAATTGTCAACTTAGGTTGCATACTGGAATCACCTGGGGAATTTTCAAGGTACTGATGCCTCGATCCTAATCTTTGAGATCCTATGTATTTGCTGTTGTGTATGGCCTAGATATTGGGATTTTGTAAGTTCTCAGGTAATTCTAATGTGCAACCAAGGTTGAGAAGCTATACAATAGAGGATATCAACTGTTCACAGGTGCTGAGAGAAGGACACAAAGAGACCACATAGGATCGGGTGGGTTAGTCATTGAGGGCTAGCAAGAGGGCTGGGCTGGGAGTATGGAGAGCATCAAGGGCCTGTGTGAAAGGAGAGAGAGGGTGTCCCTGGCTAGGTGGCAGGAGTGGTGGGAGGGGACCCTTGCATTGGGGTTGGAGCCAGCTGTTGGGTAGATTCCCTGAGTAGCTGGGAGCAGGGGCCTGCTCATTTCCCGGTTCTGTTATACAGTAAATCTATGGTTTGGGCCTTTTGGGTTTTCCCTTTGGAGCTCTGGACCAAGGATGCACAGAGCATGGGGGAAGTCAGAACTGTAGACTTCAGCCCTAGCTCAGGGGCACTCCACCCCCTTTTCCAGCAGGCATTTCCCTCTTTCCTTGCCTGTCCCTCTACTCTAGATCTGGAAAAATATGAAAATGCTTACGGAGGAGGATATAACCTAAACTATGCACACATTCCAAAATTTCCAGTCGTAGGAGGGGCTGGCCTGGCAGTCCCTAGCCCTACCTGTACACAGCCTTCAGCCCCACCGGGTGAGAGGCACTTCATGGGCTCTGGTTGAAGAGGTAGGAGTCTTTGGTCAAAGTGGGAGACAGGAGGAGGAAGGTGAGTTTTGGCACTGGCGCTCAAATGTGACTGCTTTAATCTCACCAAAGGCCCTCACAGCCCTCAGGATTAAATCCTACAAGACCCTCACATCCCAGCTCTGCCCACTGACTTCTCCAGTCCTCTTGTGGCCACTCTTCTCCCAGTCATTTTGAATTTTGTCAGATCCTTGAAGGCAGTATTTTTCAAATGTAGATAAAAAGCCATTAGTGGGTCATAAAATTTATTTATCATAGTATGTTGCTACCAGCACTAAGGGTAAAAGAGAAAAGTAGGAAGGACTGGATAGAATAGAAAACATCCGTGCGCACTGCACATAATGAAGGCGAGTGAGACTGCTGCTCCATGTGTGCACATGCGTGCGCATGTGTGTGTGCTTGATGTACAGTGTTTGTTGCTGCAAAGCAGGTGAAAACCTCTGCATGATGCAATTCCCTTTCAGGAATGAGATTCTGTCTAAATGGTGCCTCCTTGGCAGGTCTTCCCTTGAACTGCACTGTTCTTGCTGTGTGATTCCCATGGCATGCTATAATTCCTTTGTGCTCTGATCACATTAAAAAAAAAAAAAGATTTATTCAGTTTCCTATCTTCTGTGATAGACTGCAAGCTCCATGAGGCAGGGCCTGTGTGCCCCTAGCATCCTATCTGTCAGATACTGAGTGGCTGAATGATAGACCTGAGTTTAGGTTCCAGCTGTGTGTGTTCTTAGGCAAGTTCTCTTTTTATTTTTTCCAACTTTTTATCTGAAAGATTTCAATATACAGAAAAGTTGAAAGAACAGTATAATGAACACCCTATATATCCTCCACTTAGATGAACAATTAGTAACGGTTTTTCCATATATGCTTTCTATCTATCTATCTATGGACATTTTTTCTGACATCATTTGAAAGTAAGCTCATATATAACCTTCACCCCTAAGTACTATGGCATGCTTCTCCTAAGAGTAAGGTTATTCTCCTACATAATCACAATACTATTAAGATCCCTAAGAAAAAGAATTTAATTCCATAATACTATCTAAAATGAAGTCCATATTCAAATTTTTCCAAGTTTCCCCAAGAATGTGTTTTATAGCTATTCTAGTTCAAATCAGAAAAAAACAAAGGTCACATTGCATCATTGCATTTGGCTTTGTGTCTCTTTAGTTTCTTTTAATCTAGAACAGTTCCTCCACTTTTTTTTTCTTTTTCTGGTAGGGCCTTGACTTTTGGAGGAGTCAAGAACAGTTATCCTTTAGAATTTTCCACAGAATTTATTTCCCTGTTTTCTTGTGGTGGTATTTAACTTTCTTCTCAACCCCCTGTATTCCCTCTAAATTGGAATGAGGTTTAGAGGCTTGATTAAACATTTTGGCAAGAATACCTCACAGGTGATGTCTCCTTCAAGCTGTGTCACCTCAGGAGGCACATGCCAGATCATTCCACTCTAAGTAGCGCCATTTGTTCACCTGTTTAAGGTAGTGACTGCCAGATCTCTCCTGTGTGAAGACACGTTTCCCTTTTGCAATTAGTAAGTAATTTGCAAGGATGATCAACTCCAGCACCACGTGAAGAATCTTTTCCTCTACCCTGAGGTTTTTAGCAACCATCCATGATCGTTTGGGCAGGTTGTTCACCTGAGTCTCAGTCTCTTCATCTGCAATGTGGAGATAATAATGCCTGTCATTTGGATTTGCTGTGCAATGACATTTAAAAGTATTATATGAACACATATGAAAATGCTGTCATGGTCAGCCATAATTTCTCCCTTCTGAGAACACTATCCCCCTTCGTTTAAGAAAGTCCTCCCTACCTTCCTCCAAATATGTGGTCCAGATGCTGGCTTCTTAGATGACCCTACCTGTCTGGCTTCTATGGGGCACAGCCAGCTCATCTTCTTTGGCCAGGTAGAATGAGCACGTGACTCAAGCTGAGCCAATCAGAATGCTTCCCCGGGAAATTCTGAACCAACTGTGGTAGGAATAGGGTGAGGAAAACATTCTTTTTCCCTAATGTGAGGATGTGAGTCTGGAAGTTGACTACTTCCCCTACCACCTGGAGAATGAAAGCCTATTGGGTGGAGGAGATCAAAATTATGTCTTTGAGATCAGGCCAGAGAGGAGTTGTCCAGGGGTCTTCCTGGCCTGGCTCCAGTCCCTGCCAGCTATACCTCTGCTCTGCCCCAGCTATGCCAATCAAGGCCCTCTCTTGCCTGAGCACCTTACAAACTGGGTTCTGAACCTTATGACAGAATCTGAATAGCACAAGGCCTGTCACGTGCCTCTCAGGATAGGTGAGTAGATAAATTAGTGGTCCATGCACTCTCATCCCATCCTGTTGTCTTTGAATATGTACGGGCTAGTGGGGAGGTGTGAGGAGGTGCCAGCCATGGTTCTGGCTTTTTAAAATCTTAGGAGTTATAAATGCATTTCCTTGGTGAGCATAGACTCAAAGCAAGGGGGCTGGTGACTTACCCAGCCCCAAGTGTGGCCGCTCTTGCCACTAGAACCAACCCCCCAACCCAGATGCCCACAGCGGGAAGCCAGTTCTGTCTCCATGGAGTGCCCCGCCTCCTTTGAAGAGTTTAAAACACGCCCGAGTGGTGAGAGGGGCAGACAGCCTTGTTACAGGAGGGCAGAGAAGGGAAGATGAACGAAAGGGAGGCCTGAAGGAGACTGGAGCGCGTGCTCAGGACAAGCGATGGGAGAGCCTGGGAGTGAGGGTCTTGGGGGCAGGGAGTGAACCAGCAGGGTCTTGGGGAGGCAGGGAGACTCAGGGCTTCTTCCAGGCCCCGTTTGTGTAGCGCTATCTCCATGCAGGATCAATGGAGAAGTCTTGTCCAGGCGCTTCTTGTTGGACCCTTTCAGCCATCCAACAGGAGGAAAGACTACTATCATTCCCGTTTCACAGATGAGAAAACTGACACCCAAGTAAATTACCCAAAGTCACCTCGCTGGTAATAGCAGAGCTGGAATTCGAATTCAGATCCGGCCAACTCCAGATTGCTCCACCCCTACCCCGTTCCGCGCCCGGCTGAGCGGGGCCTGGACCGTCAAAGACCCCGAGGCTGAAGCCGGGTTCCCGCATCGGATGAGCAACGGGGCTGCTGTGCCGAAGGGTGAGTCCCCGCCCTCCTCCGCGGCCCCAAAGGCTCGGTGGGCTGTGCCAGGAAACGGAGCATCCCCGGGCCGGTCCCCGGGGGCAACGGAAGCTCTGGACAGGACCGCCGGCCAAAGGTGCGGACTAGGGGCCGGGGGCTCGCCCCGCCGCAGGGGGCCGGCGGGGAGCGAAGCTCTGCCCGGGAGACTGGGAGACCCCGGCGGAGGGAGGGGTGACCAGTGAGGGAATGAGCCGAGGTGGCTGCACGGTCCGGAGGGAGAAGGCGTGGAGAAGCCCCCACATCCCAAGGCCCGAAGTAACCGAGGAGCCCTTGGGACTAGCAGGGCGGGGTCTGGGGGTAGATGGCCAGGGGCGTGCCTGTCTCTGGGTCTGGAAAATGTCACTGTGGCTTTGGGGCCAAGGAAGGGCCGAGGGGGGCGGCAGTCAGCAGGAAGGAACCTCTGACCAAACCTCCTAGGTCAGTTTGCAGCCCAAGGAGCCACAAATTCCTGGTGGGAAAGGGGAGTGAGGCTCCCCGCGGCCCAGACGGTGCCTTCCAGTCTCTTCCCCATTCCAGCCCAGGATGCGCTTTATGTCGCCGGCTCTTCCATTGCCCAGTATGGTTCCCAGCTGTCCCAGGGGTGCGCAGGGCCTGGACAGGTGACAGGGCTGCATTCAGGCTGCCGCAGGGGGCTCAGGTCTGAGGGGCCCCCGGATAGAGGAAGCTCCACCCGGGCCTGTGGTTCTCAGATGCAGGTCCAGGCTCCACGGAGTCTGCAGCTCTTCTACTTTCCAGGGTCATAGGTCCTTTCTAAAATAATTAAAAACAAGTAAATAATAATAATTAAAACAATCGGTGATAGTAGATGACAGTTGTTTTGTCTTGGATGCCTTTGACAAAATAAAGAGTTGGCAGTCCTGTGTTCCCCCATTCTCTCTGCCTTTCTCACACATCCACATGAACACAACTGTTAGAAAAAATTCGCTGGTTCCACTAAGTCCAGATTTGGGAATCAGCGACTGAACCGCTAGCTGTGGGCAGCCGGTGAGGTGGGAGGGGCATCCATGCAGGATGCTGGTCCCTATCCCCGCTCTGATGGACTGTGGGATCCAGACAGGTGATCCTTCTCTCCAGCTAGGTTTCCTTATCAGTACATAGGGATCTACAAATCCCCTTTGATATTGACATGTCTGTGGTCCTTTGAATCTGGCCTATATGAATGTGTCCCCAAAATTGCATATCTCTGGGGCACAGTCGTCCCGTACCAGCGCTGAGGGCTGTGCCATGCAGGGCCCCGGCCTATCCCCAGAGGGGACCCAGTCCTCCTCACTGGAGAGCAGCCAGGCCCCGGGGACAGACAGGCCGTGGTGCACTGGGGCATGCCTGGCCCCACAGTAACACCAGTCAGGGGAGAGGAAAGCACTGTACCATGTGACATGTTTATGTGTCTCTCTCCCCAGTAGTTGCCAAGAGCCTGGAGTTCCTGTCCTTTTTTCATCGCTGAATCCCCTCCATTGGCCTGACCTGGGCATGGGGCGTCCAGGAAGTGCACAATTAATTTTTGTGGAGGGAATGGATAATGGTTGGTGGCTGGGAGGGCTGCATGGAGTGGACAGGACCAAGCTGAACTTTGCAGGAGAGGTGGGATTTAAAAGGCTTGGAGGAGCAGAGAGGGCACCCCCTGGGATGGAACCCAGGCAAGGAGGCTGGAGGTGTTTGGGGATGACTGCTGTGTTCCAGGAGCTGAGGGAGTCATGGCCAGGGCGGAGTCAGGAAGGGTGGGTGCTTGGGGAACTTTATAAAAGGAAAACTGAGAGGATGAGGAAGGCTGATGAGATGCAAATGGGGGACAAAGGAGAAACCAGCATGAGCTCCAGGCTAGAGTTTGGGTGGTAGAGAGAATGATTGAGGTCGGGAAGACATTAAGGTTGGTTTTGGACAAGTTGAGGTTCAGTGGGGGAACAGGAAAGGGTTCAGACCAAAATGTCCAGGGTACTCCATCTCATCCAGAGGACAAGGGTCAAGAAGTAGCCATGACTCCTACTCGGAGAGTCTTAGCGCTAGGTTTAAGCTCAATGCTCTGGTCCAACGGACTTCATCATTTTAGAGTAAAGGAAAGCGAAGCAGTAAAGTTCAGGTGGCTTGTCCATACAGCCTGGAAAGTGGATAGAAGATCGAAAGGGGTGCTTTGGAGAAAGGGAAGGATAAAAATTTTCAGGTGGGAAGGAGAGAAACTAGTGAATGACAGAAAGGAGGAGAAAGCACCTTAGAACATTTCCAAAGCACTCTAACAGCATGCAAAGAGGCAAGTTGTTTGTCCATTTATAAACAGCATATTTGGGTGGGAGATGCGGGAGGGCACCCACACCTCTGCCCTCTGCCATTAGCTTGTTCTGCGGTAGTGGTCAATAGCTGAAGTGAAGGGATCTACCTTGGGGCCATAGAGAGGGCTGGGTGCCCGGGCACTGAGCACAGGTGTTTGCATAGGGTGTGGAGAGCAGAAAGAAGTGCCCTTACACTGAGGGCCTTGTCTTCCACACTCACCATGCACAGCTTGAAACCTTGGTACTGCCAGGCATGGCCCTGCTTAGGCGGGAGTCTCCAGGCCTGCCTTTGGGCATGACTTGAAAAGGACTGCTGTCTTAGGGTGCCCCTCACCTCCCTTGTCACATCTCTCACCTCCTGATGTCCCCCTTCTGTACTACCAGGTGGCCAGGGTCATCACAGTGCCATCACAGGCATCTGGATGCCTCCCAACCAGGCCCGCCCTCCCTGCAGCACCCCAGGCTCCCAATCACCTCCTCTCCTTCCCACCTTGCCTCTCTCCACCTCAGGAAAACTCATTCCTTAGGGCTGCCAGGCTCGCAAAGGCAGTGAGGAAAACAGACTGTGGAATAAATCCGGTCTTAGGTTGTGAATGGCCACTAACCCCTTTTCCCACAGGGATATTTGAATTTTAAGAGAAATCTACTCCCCTCATCCTCCAACTTTAACCAAGCACCTGAGCCCCAAGCACTATGCTTGACCCCTTGGTATGCATGATTTCATTTGGCCCTCCTACTGACCTCACTGGGCAGGTGTCACAGCCTCCCTTTCCCACATCGGGGACCCAAGCTCCTGAGAGTTTCAGCAAGTTCTCCAAGGTTACATAGCTAGCAAGGGATAAAGCTGGGACAACAGTCCCAGGCTTCTAAAGCCAAGTGCAGCCAGCACTTATCTTCCACGTCGCAGGTGTTCATTCAAAGGAAGACATCTTAATGACAGATGGTAGTGAAGGAGAAGATGTGAGGGATCCTTCACTGAAGGCCTTGGCCTCTGGGCCCAGAGGGTACCTAGGGCTTCAGGAGGCTCTGTGAAACTCTAAAACTATTTGTAAAACTTTCTATTTGCACATCATCTGCTCATTTTCAGCGGAGGGCTCCTCCCAGCCAGGTGGACCTCTGTCCATCTAAAACCCGGGTCCTGAGGCAAGAAGGCCAGTCACTGAGTAAAGGTACTTCAGACCCTGGCCTTAATATCTGCCCCGGTCCTCATTCTGAAATCTCAAAAGGCAAATAACTGACTGCAAGAGAGGGTGGTGGAGAGGTTCTTCTGTGGCCAGTGGGTGAGTGTTTACAGAATGACCTGTTAGAACTTTAGTGCTGGAAGAGGTCTTGGGCATGGCCCAGTCTATCCTCTTCATCTTACAGAGGCAGAAATTGGATCTCAGAGAAGGGACCCCACGTGCCCAAGATCATCCCCTGAGTTAGTGGCAGAAAATCTGTTATGCACTTTTTACGCCCACCGAAGAGGTGTGAAGGCTGTAGAGTTTATCGAGGCAAAGAAACAAACATTTACGGAGTGTCACTGATGTGCTAACATTTCTGCAGGCGTCATCTCCCTCGCCCTGTGCTGCGTGAGAATTCGGAATAGATGCCCCATCTCTCACTCTTACTTTCCCTTGCACAGGTGATGCTGACTTTAGAGGACAAGGACATGAAGGGATTCATGTGGGCCACAGCCCCAGCCTTGACCTCCCTGGGCTACCTGCTCATGCTGGTGGTCTTCATCTCCCTTTTTGGGTGCGGCTGGTGAACGAGGAGTCCCGTGAAGTGTTTTCCAGGGGCCTGTTTGAGAACTGCCTCCACATCAAATGCTGGAAGCTTTGACCCTTATCTGGTAAGGAGAGATGGAGGCAGGGACTAGGGAGAGGGAGATGGGGCCTGTGTGGGGACTGGGGAGTGACAGAGGACTGGTTGGGGCAGAGAGGACAAAATTTAACAAGCCTTTAAGGGCATTTTCTCTGAGCCTCCACTCTCTTGGCGTTAGAGGAAAGTAGGCAACTGGGAAGAGGTTAATAATGTCAGGCTGACCACTAGAGTCAGGAGCACATGTGTCAGCAACACAGTTTATTTCTAGGGTAGGAGTGGTTCCACCTAGGATGGGGGAAGGTCCCGGCCTACTCTTTGAGGCTCCACCATCTCTCAGGGCTGCCCTTAGCCTAGATAGACAGCACCCTTTTGGATGGGTACAGCTCCTGGTTAGCAGAGTGCAGGCTGGATTTCAGCCCCTACTTGTCTGTCGGCCACACACCTGTCCAGCTGTGGGTGGCAGCTCTGCAGATAATGTGCTCAGGCCTGGGTACCACATTTTCATGGGAATGTGCACAAATATATGAGTTCAGTAGACTGTGAAGGCACTGACTCTCAAGACCATGTTTTACAAGGAAATTGGGGAGGTCATGAGGATGTCTGTCTTGGAAAAGAGGTGACCCTGGGAGACTTTGGTGCTATCTCCTGGTAATAGGAGAGGAGAGGCCACCTGGGGGAAGATGGGCCAGACTGTGTGAGCTCTTTGATCCGGGGTTCCTCAACCTTGGCACGACTGACATTTTGGGCCAGATAATCTTTGTTGTGGGGCTCTCCTGTTTCTTGCAGGATGGTTAATAGCACCTCTACTCTCTTCTACCTACTAGATGACAGTAGAACCTCCCCCCCCCCCCACTCCACCCCAGTTGTGACAACCAAAATTACCTCTTGGCATTGTCAAATATCAGTTGAGAAACACTGGTTTAACCCAAGGTAGATTCTAGGATATCTGGGTCTTCAGCACACCTTTATTACTTTATCCTACCCCTAGCTGTCCATCTCTGCATGCTTTGGAGGGTAATCTAACTCATTTTAATGTGGATCTGAATCATGCCAACAGTAGGAGAATGAATCACCCTGTCTTCAAGACTCTGGCTTTGCTATTTTGGGTCTGTCTGTTTCACTCTATTCACCAGGATGATTAAATAGGAGTGTGGGGGTTCCCCACAGAGTTCAGAACATCTTGACCTTACAAAGTTCTGATTTTCCATGGGTGACTTATTTCAGTGTAACCAATACAGATGTGATTCTTCACATTTCCACAGGCAACAAGTTTTATCATGAGAGTTTCATTTTCTGTTGTTTATTAAAACCACCGTTTTTCCTAAGTGGATGACAGATGCATGGTTTCCCCACATGATTTGATACAACCAGATTCACATAATAATATTTGTTGAGAATTAGTGATTTCAGTATCTGAAATTGTCCATCTAATTTTTTTTCATTTACTTCCATGTTGTTGGGAACAAAATGGTGGGCCCAGAACATTCCTGGTGGCAAAGTGTCAGGGTCGGAGCCTTGGTCCCAGGCCAGGCTTTAGGATCCGAGGGTGGCAGAGCTCCAGAGGCCGTCTGTGCCCAGGCTCTGTGGGGCTCTGCCCTTGTGGGTCAGGGTGCCCTTCAGTGTACATCGTCCTTGGCCGCTTCTTTCTGCTGTCTGCAGTTGTCTTGTCTTTCCTCACCACCTTCAGCATGTGGTCCTTTGCTGCTCAGCTCTTTCTAAGGACCCGGAAGCACAACTTTGTGTCAGCCTTCCTCAGCTTCCTCACAGGTGTGGAACTGCAGGCAAGCCTTGGGGAGGAGTCCAAAGGCAGGGAATCTGTGATGGTCTCTGTGATGTCAGGAGCGAGAGAATTTTTAGGGCCCCTCTCCTCTGTTGCCTTCTCTGTGAAGCAGCCCGCCCCCATACCCACCCCTCAGGATTTACTATGCCTCTCCTTTAGGGCTTCTCAGTTGCTCTGTACCTGCTTCTAGCACAGCCCTTACCATGTTGGCTTGGGGTCATTGGTCTGGGAGTCTTTTTACCGTAATCTCTATCCCAGTGATTATCATAGACTCTACCACAAGAATTATAATAGAAATATATAATATAAGCAAAATATAAATATTTCTTGTCTGAATGAATGGAAGAGACCATCTCTGCCGTTTGGAACCTTTTGACTTTGGGAGGCTGAGCAAGGCCCTACCCTGGGAGGCTCCCATCAGATGGAGGAGGTGGAACACTCAGCATGGGAAGACCAGGTTGAGTTTCATTGAAACGTCACACCCAGACGGCCCACCTGGAGTCAGCCCAGGGCACGGACACAGAGGGTACCCAGGAAAGGGATTTCTGATTACCGGCCCCTGGGAAGTGAGGCAGATGGGCTTTGAGACGAGTTGGGGAGCAGGGTGAGATAGGCTTGTGCAGTGGCTCAGAGAGGGCAAGCGTTGTGGGCAGGACAAAGGAGCCTCCATGCAGGAGTCACACAGGCTGTGGGCCACATGGCTCTGTTTGGTTAAATCTGAGGAAGGCTGGAGCAAAGGCAGGAACCACAGGAGGAGAGCAAGAGTACCCCTTTTATCTTTACATACCATGACCATCTAAGCTCTTAATCTTCTCTGATTTTGTCCCTACCCCTAACTTCTTCCCATTATATTAACCTGACCCATGATCATAATCTATTTTAACTTGATTTTTATTATACATTGAATATATAAAAAGTATTTATAATATATCCTTAAGAAACAACTAGTTAAAAATAAACTGTACACCCGTATTTCCACCATATAGTTTAAGAATTAGCCTTATTTCGTCAAATCCATTGTTTGTAAGTTACTCCCTTATTTTATGTACCACTAAGAAAGAAAAGTTGATGCCAAGTATAATTCTTGTAAGACACAGCCTCATCTCAGAGATGTTAAAATGTGAAAAAAATTGACTTGTCAAAATTAATGAAATATGGTGGAACATTAAGTATCTTTGAAGTCTTCACCCCTCAACCATGTAGCTTTTCCTGATCTCATCCTCTTCTCTCCTTTCAAGAACCAATTATTCTGAAAGTTATGTTAATCATATTTACTACACATATAAATATCCTTAAACAATATATTATTTAGTTTTTCATGCTTTAAAACTTTGTACAATCATACTTTATTTATTCTTCTGGAATTTGCTATATTTTATCAACATTATAACCTTGAGATTCTTCCATGTTGATATGAGGAACTAAGCTTTATTCATGTTTACCACCTTAAGTGTTTAGTTGTATAACTAAGCTTGCCTGTAAAAGAATCACGGTATTTTTCTAAGGGAGAATTTTAAGCTCATGATTCAGTTTTTTTTAATGATTATAGGACTATTCAGGTATTTTTGTATCTTCTTGAGTCAGTTTTAGTAATTTATATATTTCTATAAATTTATACATTTTATCAGTTTTAAAATTTATTGACATAAAGTTACTCAAAATAGTTTCTTTTTTAATTTTTTAATTTGTGCTGCATCTGTTAGTTATGTACTTTTTTCATACTGAATTTTCTCTTTTTTCATTACCAATTTTGTCAGAGGTTTATCACTTTTTTAGTCTTTTCAAAGAACCAGCTTTTAGCTTTCTTGAACCTTCATATTTTATGTTTATTTCCTATTTAATTTTTGCTTCTTATTTTGAACTTCCCTCTCTACTACTTTTTTGCATTTATGCTGCTATTCCTTTTCCAATTTGTTAAATCAAGATCTAAACTCATCAATTATATCTTGTTTCCTGAGCAGGCATTTAAAGCTTTAATTACCCTCAAAGAATTGCTTTATTTGCGTCTCCCATTTTGATGTATAATATTTTATGTTATTGTTCTATTTAAAATATTTTCCGATTTTCCTTATGATTTCTTCTTTGATCCATGAATTATTTTAAAGTATACTTTTAAATTCCCAAGCATAGAATTTTTATTGTATCTTTGTGTTAATAATTTTAATGTAATATCAGTTTGATGATAGATCATGGTCTATGTAATCCTAATATTTTCAGATTTCTTGAGACTTGCTTTATAGCCTACTTTGAGGTCCATTTTCATGTTTCATGTTCAATGCAACCTTTTACCTATAATCATTAGATCAAGCTTATTTATTATATTGTTTAAATCTTGATTTAGAATTGTTATATTTTACTAGTGAACTGAAATTTTTATCATTATGCTGTGATCCTTTTTATTTCTAGTAATGCTTTTTGCCATAAAATCTGTTTTATCTGATATCACTATAGCTACTTATACATTTTTTAGGTTAGTATTTGCCTATTAGATCTTTTAATCTTTTACTTTAAACCTTTCTCTGTCTTCATGTTTTGGACATCTCTCATAAATTGCTTATGATTTTTTTCCCTCTAGCTTTATAATCTTTGTCTTTTAGATGAGCATTTAGTTGACTTACATATATTGTGACTAATGATATATTTGAATTTTTCCTACCACCTTAATTTGTGCTTTCAGTTGTTTTTTCTGCTGCCAAACCCCCCACCTCTCTTGCTTTGCTTTGGATTGATTGAATTTTATGTATATAATTCTCATTACATTTCCCCCCTCTTTATTTTGAAAATTATATGGTCTACTTGTGTTTGTGTAGTTGTTACTCTTGACATTTTAACATGCTTACTTAACAAAGTTGAAAGTTAATCATCATATTTAGTCTCCTCAGAAATAATACAAGGACCTCCTGCCCTCCTAAGTTATATGCTGTTTTGTCCAATGTCTCAGTTTCTTCTAGTTTTTAAAAAAATTCTACACATTTGGCATTATTATTATTTTATGCATTTAATATTTGTTTGTTTAAATTTACCACATATTTTGCAATTTAGTTGCTTCTCAAAGCTTCTCAGACTTTCTGTCTAAGGTCAGTATCCTTCTGCCCGAAATACATCCTTTATAATACTTTTTAATGAGGGTCAACAGAGATACACTCTCTCATATCTTGTTTGTGTGAAATTATCTTTCTTTCATTTTTGTTCGTTAAAGTTAGTTTTGCTTGGACACACGTTTTTAAGTTGACGGTTGTCCTCCCAGCATTCAAGATATTATTCTGTTATTTTCCCACCTCCATTGTTGTTGAGAAGTTGGCTCTGTAAAAATATCACTCTTTTTGAGGAAATCTTTCTTTTCTCTCAGACTTTCTTTGGTATTTTGAAGGGTATGTATATTTGTGTTATGGTTTGTTGCGTGAACTGAATCTGAGGAGTGGTGTCTTTCAGAATTTCTAGAACGCTTTTATCTTCTCCCAATTTTCTTTCCTTTTTGGGACTCCAGGAAGACATCTGTTAGATCTTGTTACCCCATCCTGCATGTCTCTTGATTTCTCTTTCATATTTTCCATCTCTTTGTCTTTCTGGGCTGCATTCTGAATAACTTACTTAGATGTATCTTCAATTTCATCCATTCACTTTTTAGCTGTGTCTGATCTGCTAATTAACCTATCTATTAAGTTTTTATTTCAATTTAACTAGAAGTTGTATTTCTCCTAAATCTTATCATATTTTATACCCTCTTTATCCTTACTTATATTTTAACCTATTCTCTAAATATTGTTTTATTATAATGTTAAACATACTTCCCTTGCATTCTGGTCTTATAAGTTTAACAACCTAATTATTTGCAGGTCTGACTCTATCCACTGCTGTTTCTGTAGGCTCTCACTTGTGGTGTCTTATTTCTTGGTATGTTTTGTGTTTTTTGGTATGTGTTTGACTGTGGATGCATTTTCCTTGGAATTTTTTTGGTGGAAGCTTTTTGAGGCCTGTATTTAAAGTGTTTCCTCACAAAAGGATTTGGGAGAGTGATGTCAGCATCATGGAGATGTGAGATGCTCCCTTTGTCTCTCCCCTTCAATCTACATCTAGTAAAATATCCATAACTCAACAATAGCTCCTCTGCCCAAACACTAGGATGCTGGAGAGATCTACATATCTGTACATCTGAAGGTGGGTGGGTTGGAACACACAAAGGAGGTGGAACTGGGGGAACAGTGGAGGCAGTGCCTGCAATCCTGGCCCCCTGGCCATGGTAGCTGAGCCTGCAGCCCCAGGGAACCTGGTGGCAACAGCAGAGGCAGCACACAGGACTCCAGCTTCCCAGCCACAGCAGTGCCTGTGGCCACAGGGAAACAGGCAACAGCTGCAGTGGGGCCTGTGATCCCTAGCCACAGTAATGCCTGTGACTCTAGGCCACCCCCCTGCTCCCCGGTGTAGCAGTGGTGCCTGCAAACCCAACAACTCCAGATGTGGTGAAGGTGCCTGCAACCCTGGCTCCTCCACCAGCTTCCTCCTTCCCCTGCTGTGGGACCCTGGATGTGGTGGAGGTGCCTGCCAAGAACATACAATGGAGAAAGGAAAGTCTCTTCAATAAATGGTGTTGGGGAACTGGCCAGCCACATGTAAAAGAATGAAACTAGACCACTATCTTACACAGAAATTAACTCAAAATGAATTAAAGACTTGAGTATAAGACCTAGAAGAAAACTCCTAGAAGAAAGCATAGGTAGTATGCTCTTTGACATCAGTCTTAGCAGTATGTTTTTGGATATGTCTCCTCAGGCAAGGGAAGCAAAAGCAAAAATAAATAAGACTATATCAAACTAAAAGCTTCTGCTTGGCAAAGGAAACCATCAACAAAATGAAAAGACAACCAACAAATGGGAGAAGTTATTTGCAATCATATATCCGATAAGGGGTTAATATTCCAAAATATATAAAGAACTCATATAACTCAACAACAAAAAAGCAAACAACCCAATTAAAAAATGGGCAGAGAATCGGAATAGACATTTTTCCGAAGAAGACATACAGATGGCCAACAGACACATGAAAAGATGTTCAACATTACTAATTATTAGGGAAACGCAAATCAAAACCACAGTGAGATACCTCACAGTTGTTGGAATGGCTATTATCAAAAATATAAGAAATGACAAGTGTTGGAGAGGATCTGGAGAAAAGGGAACCCTCGTACACTGCTGCAATGGCAATGCAAATTGGTGGAGACATTATGGAAAACAATATGGAGATTCCTCCAAAATTAAGAATAGAACTACCATATGATCCAGCTATTCCACTTTTGGGTATTTATCTGAAGAATATGAAAACACTAACTCGAAAAGATATATGCACCCCTATGTTCATTGCAGCATTATTTACAATAACCAAGATATTGGAACAACCTAAGTGCCCATTGACAGATGAATGGATAAAGAAGATGTGGTATATATATACAAGGGAATACTACTCAGCCATAATGAAAGACAAAATCGTGCCGTTTGCGACAACTTGAGTGAATCTTGAGGGTATAAGCTAAATAAGTCAGAAATAGAAAGTCATATACGAATTTCATATTATTATTTCATTCACACGTAGAAGATAAAACAACAACAACAAACACATATATACAGAGAACAGATAAGTGGTTACCAGTGGTGAAGTGGGTAGGGGAAGGATAAAATGGGTAAAGAGGGTCAATTGTATGGTGATGGATGGAAACTAGATTTTGGTGGTGAGAACACTGTAGTGTATACAGAAGTCAAATTATAGTGTCGTACACGTGAGACATATAATTTTGTAAACCAATAGTAGCCCAATTAAAAACAAAGTGGATTTGCATTTGCTTCTGCTTGGTGTTTGGGTGTACAACTAGCCTAGGATCACAAACAAAATACATAGGCATTGTGAATTTAGCTTTAGACCCACATAATAGCTAGCCTGTGTTTACAAATTCTCAGTCAATACAGGTAACTTTGAAGTTCCAGCTTTACGTGGCAGACTCTTATTAAATTCCCCATCTTCTCAGGCCCTGGGCTTTTTCTCCTACTTTTTGTGCCCCAGATGGCCAACAGAATGGAAAATCAGATCACCTGGGCTGAGTGTATATCTCCGAGGTGAAGGCTAATTGTGGGCTTGCTTAACTCTTTAGATTCCTGTTTTCACTATGGTTTTGGCTTTTGAGAATATCTTACTCTGACGCCAGCTTGGCATTGCATTAAAAAATTTGTTTCTAAAGAAATATTTTATTTAGAATTTTTGCTGTTTTTAGTGGGAGAGTATTTAGTCTGCCATAATGCTGAAAACAGAAGTTGTCCTTTATCATAGTCTTATCCTTAATACAGCATTTATTATTCACTCAAGATATATGCGTTATTTCTTATGAATATTGATTCCCTTTTCCCTTTCTTTTGCTTCTTGAGTTGGGCATCAAGAGACCTGGGTGTTGTGTTTCACCTTCTTCTCTTAAACCTTGTTTTCTTACCTATTAATGGTTAGACAGTTGCTAAGATGCCTTCTAGCACTGGCCATGGTTCTGTGATTTTACCCATCTATTTGTGTACCTGGTCTTTTGATGCATTCTGTCTTTCCTTCTGTCTCTGTAATACTCCAGGTTGGAGGGGAGAACTAGGGAGGATAGGTATAGCTCAGAGGGAGTCGCAGTAGACGAGAGAGTTCCTGACCCCTAGGGCATGGAGCTCAGCACTCTCTAACCCGACCCAAACTTTTGCTGTTACCTAGGTGCCATCTGCCTCTTTCAAGAATCAGCCTGCCTTGGCTGCCATTTGTTGCCCATTTCCCAGAATATTGAGGAGACCGAAGGGATCCTGCACCTGGTAAATCTGGAGAGTTTGGGAGGATAACTGAGCTCAATACAAAAGGAGACTTTGCTGAAGGAAGAAACAATTGTGTAGCCCAGGGTAGTCAGTCCTCTACGCTTCGTCAAGCTGTGTGAGTATATGTGTGTAGGTGTATGTGGCTCCCCCTTGTCCGCCAGTCTCTGCTGCTTCTGACGAGCTTCTTGGGTGTCAGATCAACCCTCCACTCCCTCATACTCACAGGGATTCTATCTTGCTCATATTTGAAATTTGATAAAAGATTTTTTAATTCTTCTGAGCTTCCTGAGTGGTTTATTTTTGCAGGTGTTTTCAGTAAAAGGAGGAATATTGCCCATTAATCCATACCAAAAAAAAAACCAACAACAACAAAAACCACCCCCCAAAACCCCAAAGCAGCCTGGAGGGCAGGAGGGAAGGTAGGAATATTACAAAATGATCAAGTGAAGTGAGCTTTTGTAAAACAAAAACTGAACAGAATATAACGACAACAGAGGGTGTTTGAGTTAGTGATATTAAAAAGAAAAAGCGATGTCCCTAAACAAAAGCATGACTCAGTACAGGAAACTTTCCTGAAGCACATGTTGGAGGGAAGGGTTGGGAGTGGTTAAAGGTGAAAGCTTGCCCAAGATTGAGCTCCTAGGTCTGGAAGTCTGAGCCTAGTGAGTTTATGCCTCTGAGGAAAGCATAGGCAAGTTAGCCAGTCAACACATCGGCATTCCATCCTTTCACTCGAGCCAGAGGCCTCTTGAGGGCACCTCTAAAGTGCTCCCCTTCACAGCCCTGATGGTGCTTACAGACTGGTGAGCACTCAGCCTCCCAGTTAGGATGAGTATAGCTGGAAAGTACAAATGCTTTGGGGCAGTGGGGAGGCTAGAAATTGACCCAAGCCCTCTGCTGGCTTCATATCCACTCTTCATCTCAATGATACCAAGTAATAATGCCTCCCCACGTCTCCCTCTAAAGAACACATATGTGGAAAAAGCTCTTAGAACTTAAGCAGTGCAACTTCAAAAACCAGCTCCCTGTAGGGAGCCGTGTATGTCTTTCTGGAGAGGAGATGTGATGGACACGGCTAGAGTCAAGCGGGCTCTGTTGTGACCATTAAACAGTGTTCATCAAAGGCTGACCTTGTGCAGTGCACCATGGGGTACACAGAGGTATCAGAACCACTTCCTGTTCTCCAGAGGCTCAGACTCAAGCAGAAAAACTAAGAGATATACACTTTAAAAACAGCCAATAAGTGTTTTAGTTAGATTATTTTTAGTTTCTTATTACATTCCCTTCAAAAGGTGTCTTGAGAGTTTCTTATAGGAATATGGTGACAGCTTAGTTCCGGTCTTCTCACTTTTCCACCTAAAAACAAAAACTATATAGGAACTATAATTGTCAGTGAAACTAAGGATCGAGAAAATCTTCAACCTCTAAAATAGGTAACTGTGGCCCACACCACCCTAAACCTGCAGAACCAGGATGGGAAGCCACAACTGGGAGATTAACATGGTGGGCACGGTGGGGTGAGTCGGAGAACATATAGTGGTGGCGAATTCCGAAAATCATGAGCAATTATTAACCTTCAGGTGTCTGAGGAGGACCCACCCTGAGAAGGAATGGCCATGGACAGGACAGTGAGGAAACATGATGGGGCATGTGTGTTGGAGAGGCAGAGAAGGCATGGAACATGCCTGGAAACCTATAAAGGGAAAGATGTAAGAAGGCACCACTTGTAAAAGAAAGATCACCTTGGAAGGCAGATAATAATATCATTTGATAGAATTGACTGGTGGAGAACATAAGTAAGTAAGTGGTAGTACAAGCCTTCTGAACCCAGTTAGGATATAAGGGTCAGAGGAATCCTGGCCAAGTGGGGAACTATATATTGAAGTATCCCTCAGCGTAGCAGTGGAAGGAAGAGCACTCACACTGAGAGGGTGGGATCGTTCCGCTTACCTGACGCCCCTTCCACAGTATCCTCCTGCAAACAGCTGGGCCAGGAAAGTCAAACTCATTCAAGTAGAAGAGTAAAACAGCAATATCAGTACAAAGGTGTTATAAGAAAAAGCAGAAAGAGAAGCAAAAGTCTGGATATGAAGAAAACTCAGCAGAAAATGGTTGCCACAATGTGGAGGAAAATTATAATCCAACATTCCAAGATAAATTTAAAAAGTTAATGAAGCAATTGCAGCTAGGAAAAATAAATCCCACAAATCAGAATTATAGGAACTTAGAGAAGAAACATCCTGACCCCAGAAAGTGAGGGCCAGATAACGGGCGGATATAAAATGGGAACTGATCAAATTCAAGAAAGAGCTGGAAAAAGTCTAAAGAAGACTAAAAGACTAAATTACAAGACTTAGAAGACTAAATTACAAGAAGCACCAGAGAGAATAGATACCAGAACAGTAAGAGGTATAAAGGATAAGAATAATAAATGTGCAAAAAATGAAATAAAGAAATGAAAAGGATTAGAGAGAGTGAAAGCTATAAAAGACAGGTAAAGGAGTTCCACCATGTATAAAATTGGAGTCCCTGAGGCAGAAAACTGAAATAAAGGAACAGAACAAATATTTAAAACTAAAATTCGAGAAAACTGATTGAAATAAAGTTCCTTTCTATTGAAAAGGAACCTACTGGAAAGGAGTAACATTTACTTGGGAAAATTGAAGCAAGATGCTCAACTTCTACCATGGGGCAGTGCTTTGTTTTTTACTGGAATAGACACTCTGGAACAAAGCACTGCCCTATCATGGAAGGCCTGGAGCCTCTGTACTTTCTTTGTGCACAAATACTGGCATACAATGCAAAATTACTAGACATGCAAAAATGTGACTGAAGAGAAAAAAATAACCAATAGCTAAGCAGATGCAATGATGATTCAAATATTGGGGTTAGCAAACACAAACTTTAAAATAACTATTATTAAACTATTGTTAATATGTTAAAGAAATTAGAATAAAAGAAATGCAAAATTTCAAAAACTGGAGAAAACGCTACTGAAATGTCATTTCTCCATTTGAGATCTGCAAAAGTCAAAAGTTGGATGCAACACATTCTGTTGGCTAAGCTGTGGGGAAACAGACACTGTCATATGTTGCAAATAGAACTGAAAAATGATATAATCCATATTGAGGGGAATCTGGCAATGTCTGCAAAACTACAAAAGTGTTAATACTTTAAATCAACATTCTCAGTTTAAGAATTTATCCAACAGATACACCTGCACACATATTTAAAAATGATATAGGTGCAGGGTTATTAATTGCTGCAGCATTTGTAATAATAAATGATTAGGAGCAAGTCAAATGTCCATCAATAGGGGACATATTAAATCAATTGTGTTACATCTACACCAGCTTAAAAGAAAATGAGGGGCCGGCCCAGTGGCGCAGCAGTTAGGTTCGCACGTTCCACTTCAGTGGCCCAGGGTTCGCCAGTTCGGATCCTAGGTGCGGACATGGCACGCTTGACAAGCCATGCTGTGGTAGGTGTCCCACATATAAAGTAGAGGAAGATGGGTGTGGATGTTAGCTCAGGGCCAGTCTTCCTCAGCAAAAAAGGGAGGATTGGCGGCAGATGTTAGCTCAGGGCTAATCTTCCTCCAAAAAAAATAAAAGAGAAAATGAGACAGATATCTATGTACTGATATGGAATATTTTTGAAGACATATCACATGATAAAAAACAAGGTATCAGTGTACTTCCTTTTGTGTAAGAAAGGGGGAGAAGACAGGAGAAAATATATGAATATTAGTATCTGCAAATAAATACTTGAAAACTATACAATAAACTAATAAATCTTTAGAGATGGGGGTAGATTAGGGAATGGGGTGGTGGAGTGGGCAAAGGCAGGAGCAATAATTCTGTGTGTAACTTTTTATATGATATTGATTCTTGAATCATGTAAATGTGTTACCTATTCAAAAATTCGTATGAAATAAAACATTCATATTAAAATTAACAGAAACAGAGGAAAAGATAAAAAAAAGCCCATTCATAGGAAAAGAAATATAAGTAAGTAGCTTATGAATAATAGTTGACTTTACTCATAATTAAGATATGCAAATAAAAATAGGTCACTATTTATTTCACTTGTCAGATTACAAAGATGAAAAAGTTTGATGAGATCCAGTGTTGATGAGATTGTGGAGAAATGAACATTATCCCCCACTATTTGAGGGAGTGGAAATTGGTGCAGGCTCTTTGTAGGATAATTTGGCAACAGCTGACCAAATTCAAAATGCATGGATAACTTTTAGAGCCAACAATTCCATGTACAGGAATTCATCCTTTAGGTTCATTTGCAAAAGGTGCACAAGGAATTATGTATAACAATGTTCATTCCAGATTTCTGGTAAATCCTAATGTTGGAAACAACCTCAATGTCCACCAATAAGCTTCATAAATCATGGGAAATACATGCAGTGGAATACTGTGCAGCTGGTAAAAAGAATGAGGTAGATCAGTATGTGTAGACATGGAAAGATATTGTTTAGTGTATAAAAACAAAGTGCAGAACAAAATACAGCATGGTTCTGCTTTGGAAAACAAAAAGGATATGCATTTTATGCTTAGTTTGCCTATAGCATTTCTGGAAAAATTCCTGAAACCTGCTTCATGGCCTCATGCTAACCTCTGACTCCTCAGGCCTCCTTGTTGGTTTCCAGCCCTCCTCTCTGCTCAGTTTGGACTCTGTGGTCACTCAATACAACATTCTCCCACTACGGCCCTCATTTCCGTCCCCTTGGCATTCTCTCATAATAATCAATATTGGTTTAACTCAGCTGTTTGTTTTCTGCAGATCTGCCCCTAGATTGCACAAACAACTGTATGGATTGATTCTCTCAGTTGTTTTGTTTTCAGTCTCACTTGAGTATTCAGTGTGGCTTGACAATCTTTCCATGCACCCTACAAATTTTTCCTACATCATTCCTCACAATAGATATTCCAATTTTCGTTTTTTTTAAGATTGGCACCTGAGCTAACAACTGTTGCCAATCTTCTTCTTTTTTTTTTGCTTTTTCTCCCCAAATCCCCTCAGTACCTAGTTGTATCTTTTTAGTTGTGGGTTCTTCTAGTTGTGCTATGTGGGATGCTGCCTCAACATGACCAGATGAGTGGTGCCATGTCCACGCCCAGGATCTGAACCAGCAAAACCCTGGGGGGCTGAAGCGGAGCGCACAAACTTAACCACTAGGCCATGGGGCCAGCCCCCCAGATATTCCAATCTTAACCCCATTATTTAAGCTCCAAGCCTATCATCATCTCTTGTACTCTCACCAGATAATATCACTGAGAAAAGAGGCCAAGAATGAACTCCTTAAACTTCTCTCTAGAATAACTTTAAAATAATCTACATGAGGGGTGAGCAAACTACAGCCCTTGTGTCAAATCCAGCCCTGGCTGTGAGCTAAAAATGGTTTTTACCTTTTAAAGGATTGTGAAAATGAAGAGGAGTATGCGACACACTATGTGTCGTGCAAAGCCTAGGATGGTTACTATCTGGCCCTTCACAGAGAAAGTTTGCAGAGCTCTGACCTACACCATCACCCATCTTTGATTCTTTTCTTCCCAATTCAGAGGAGCCCCTTTCTCCTGGCCAAGGCTGACCTGGAGACCTGTCATCTGATCCAGTCTCCTTCTGCCTTTTCCAGAATGCCCTCCTCTCTGTGTCTCTCCATGGCAAGCCGAAGACTGGTTTTTGATGTCACTAGATATAGTTCAGTCTTCCAAGACAGATTGTCTGAGCCAGTCAGGCAGTTTCTTGGCCCTGGATGACAAGGTTGTCTCATCCCTCTTGGAGGTGAGTGCATGTGAGTGGATGAGGAGGATATCCGACACTATTTCCAGAAGGGATTGATAATATAATTTGTAATATAAAAGAATGAGACCCTGTGAGCCCAGCTGGATTTTGCCCCCGCATGTGGTATAAGGTATGGACCCAGTGTTCTCTCTTTCCAGATGACCAACAAGTGGTCTACTTTTTCAAAGTCCGTTTTTTTGATATGAGATGTGGACTTGGTCATTTAGTAAATTATTCCATCTTCTCTCTCATCCTCCAGATGCAATCAGTGTTCAAACCTTGCCTATGTTGCTTCCCAAATAGGTTTCACATCTACACCCTCCTTGCAACCTCCAGTCTCACGGACTGCCTCCGTTCCGTCTGGTCCTTTCTCTCCTGGATTGCATTATTTAGCCCCACAGTCCGTCTTCTCATCTCCCCACCCTCCTCCTCTCTCGCTCAGTCTCTTTCGCAGGTTTGTTTCTCAGTACCGTCTTTTCTAAAATCTATTCCTTCCCGCGGCTTCCCACTGCCTTCGGGTTACCCTCCGAATTACCTAGTTTAGCCTTCTGCTCTAGCGGCTCCGATGGTGTGGGAATGCCGTCATTCCCACCCCTCGCTGGGCACCTCGTGCTCCCTCTGCTGGGGACACTTACCTCACTGGTCCACCCTTCAAATCTGAGCTCAGGTTGCGGCTCCTCCAGGAAGCCTTCCCTGACTACCCCGCCCCTCCCCTCACTACCCGGGGGTCGTGGCCTCTTTTATGTGAATTTATAATCCTCGGTGCTTCCCTCTGTCACCCCCGGCCCCCACACCTCGCATAAAATACCGCAGGCGCGGAATAAACACGTGTTGAACGACTGGACTCCAAAGCTCCGAAGGAGGCACCGTGTCCTTCCCACAGAGAGAAAGCGGGTGCAAAGGAAAGGAGGCGCAGAGGGGCCTGAGCCTCCAGGAGACGAGTTAGCCACGGGGACGAGCGACCATCGAGACGATCGACCTCCGAGAGTCCTAGAGAGGAAACGGAAGGGACCCCCTTCCTTACGCACCTGTCTGACAGTGTTCGCAGCCCACTTCCGGTCCGCCGAGGGCGCGGGCCAGCTCGGCGCGCGTGCGGGGCCGCGGGTGAGAGTCCGGTTGGGGCCGGGCGGGGCGGCGGGGTGGAGGTGGACGGGCGCGGGGGCCGAGCTGTGGTGCCGCTGCGGGCCTCGGCGGCGGCGGGGCTGACGCTGCGGGCGGCGCGTCTCCTCGGAGCTGCCTCCCGCGGCGCCGAGGCCTTGCGGGTCGGGCGCGGGGGTCCGCTCCGCGGTCGGCTCAGGGTGGAGCGAGGCCGATCCCGCGCGGCCAGGGGTGGCTTAACGCGGGGGGCTCCACGAACCCGAGACCTTGAACCGAGGCGGAGCTCTGAAAAGTGAAAGTAGTCCTTTTAGAGCGAGGCGTGACACGCTCGTTTAAAGAGCAGTTACGGGACGCCTTCTGTCTGTCAAGTGCCAGGGATGAAAAATGATCGCGGACCTTTCTTGCCTTCGGGGAACCTGGTAGACGGAGACACATTGGTAAATATTTGCGCCGTAGTGCGATCAACGCAGTAGTGGGTGGAGTGAATAAATGCAGTAGCTGGGAAGTCATGAAAGAGAAATCTCAATTGATGCAGCAGAGAAACTGAATAGACTGAAGGTGTAAAATAGGTTTAAGAAAGGTAGATAAATAGACAAACACCCGATAGGATATTAAGCGGAAGCTCGGACGTGCCTCCTGCCGTCTGCTTATTCTCTGCTCCATTTAGAGTGATCGTCCCCCGCTCTAAAAGCCGAGCCCCTTACCCGCTTTGGACTTCCAGGTCGGTCTTCCCATCCTAGGTGCTCCCCCCGCTCCCATGGGATTAAATAGTACTCATCCTTCAGTTTAGTGCAAGCCTCTTCTTTGTCACGGGTACTTGAACCTACATGAACTTTTCTGTCTTTTTGGCTTCCCGTGTTTCTCATCTGTACCACAGGTTTTGGGAGGCTGACCTTGGTCTGCAATCTAACCTCTTGCATGTTCAGGTTCTTCACCTGAAAAGTAGGGAGAGTTGTCCTCACCATACAGAGTTGTTCTGTTTATGAGAGTATGTGTTCGCATGCTTTCTAAGTGGTAAAGCCTCCACAAGCTAGAAATCTTCCCATCCATGGTAATAAGGTGTGTATGTTGCCCTGTTGTTTTCTTTAGGATGAGCACACCGTCGCACCCAAGCCACCAGCAAGTCTATTGGTTTTACCTCCAAAATATATGTTAACTTTGCTTCTTTGCCACCACCCTGATCTAAGCCCCTGTCATCTTCTGCTTGGACAGCTGTAAGTGCCACCTCCGTCTTGTCCCCTCTAATCTATTCTCTGTTGACACACCACAGGCAAAATGGCCTTTGTGAAACATGTAGCTGCCCACTACAGTGAGAAATGAGTAAAGCCCATAATTCTCACTGTGGTCCAGGCCCTGGATACTCTGGTTCTGCCTGCCTCTGCCACTCTTCTCGTGCCCGTCACTCACTCTGCTGAAGCTACACTGCACTTTGGCTTGTTCTCTGACCGGCAAGTGATTTCTAGCCTCAAGGCTTTTGCCTGGACTGCGCTTTGAATGACTGGCTCCTTCGCATCCTTCAGGTCTCAGCCCAGGTGTTATCTCTTCAGAAAAGCCTTTTTCAAGTTGTTCATCCCCCATTAACAAAGCACCATACTTACTTCCTTTCTATAACTTATCTCCATTTCTAATTTTAATTTATTTGCTTACATTTGTTTTCTTCTGTCCACTGTGTTAGTATATGAGTTTCAAAGGGCGAGATGCCTTGTCTGTCTTCTTCTCTATTCTGTTTCCAGTTTGTGCAGGTCTGGCATATATATGTGTTGAATGTATATTTCCTTTAGTGTTGAAAGAGGGGGTCCTGGTGACTGACGTAGTTATAACCTATCTTATATTATTCTCTGATTGTAGCGTTCTCTCCCTAATGAAATCCTAAGGTGTTTGTGGGTGTAAGCTAAACCCTACACGTTTTCTGTTTACTCTCTGCACATACTGGGTGGTTAGCAAATACTGAGTCACGTTCACATGATTTTCAGGATGTATGTTCAGTATTTTGAAAATTCCTCATAGAAGTAATTACCGTGTTCTCTAGCAGAATATTCATTGAAGTAGAGACAGAATTGGAATGGACTGACGTTTCCTAGGTGTCTCACTTATGTTGTCATCACTGTCTCTGTGGTCTTCCCAACAGACCCTCCGTCTTCTGGGAGGAAGTGTGAAGATGCTTAAAGAGCATCCAGGGATGGCGGAGGAGCCTCAGCAGCAGATGAGTGTTCCTGTGGTAAAACTGGAGAAGGAGTTGCCGTGGGGCAGGGGAAGGGAGGACCCTAGTCCTGAGACTTTTCGTCTGAGATTTCGGCAGTTCCGCTACCAGGAGGCAGCTGGTCCCCAGGAAGCCCTCAGGGAACTCCAGGAGCTCTGTCGCCAGTGGCTGAGGCCCGAGCTGCACACCAAGGAGCAGATCCTGGAGCTGCTGGTGCTGGAGCAGTTCCTGACCATCCTGCCCCGGGAGTTCTACGCCTGGATTCGGGAGCACGGCCCGGAGAGTGGCAAGGCCCTGGTGGCCATGGTGGAGGATTTCACGGAGAGAGCGTTGGAGGCCAAGGCGGTGGGTGAGAAGGGGGTCCCAGGTCTTGCTTTCTTGGTGCGGGAAGGGGAGATTTAAAGAATGGAAAGGTTTGAGGAAGCAGTGGGAGTGGATGGGGCATAGAATCTCCCTCCTCTGCTCCCAGACTCCGAGGTACTTTTTGGAGGGTAGTAGAGTTTTCGGCAAGAAAAGCCATTCCCAGGGAAGCTACAGGGCCTGTGGAAGGGCCGTTAGCTTCCTTTTTGGTCATCAGGGCTGAGGCCTGGCCATATTTCCCTCGTGAGCCTCAGGCCCAAAGAAGGCAATTGGGATCGATTTCAAAGTTCCTTGTAGAACAGTTCTTCTTTGGGCAGAGATGCATATGGGAATGCGAGGAATTCCGCTTGGTGAATGTGCTTACCAAGAGGAGTTGTCTGTGACGGTGTTGTTTCCACGTCTGGGATGTCAGTGCAGATGGCTCGCATAGCACTTCTTTGGGGGTGTTCTGGTGACACCAAGTAATTGCACCTCAGATGCTTCCTTGGGACTCTGGCCACGTCTCTGTCACTGTCTGGTAGTACAGTCACCTGATTGTAGGCTGGGAAAGAAGAGAGCAGGACTGAATGTTACTGTTTTGCTTGGAATTAACCATCTTTAGTTTCTCCTCCTTTTCCCACTGCAGTTACTCCTGACTTCCTGTGTAATTCTAAGAATGTTGGGTTTTTTTTTTTGAAGTAGACAGGATGGGCTTGTTTTTGTGAGTGTGTCTCAGAGTGAGTTGTCCTCATTTTCCTTGCTATTTTTGGAGCAACTTTTTCTCACTAGCTAATTCATTGCAGAGTCTAGGCTTTGTAGTTTTTGATTTCAACGTCTGTAAATGGGGACTTTTTTTCCCCTAGTGGTGAGCATGTTGGGCTAAAGTTTTCAACACAGCAATATTTAGGCTTTCTGTGATGTTATTCTTGGTGGAATTTGATCAGTAACGAGGCAGGCAGAAGGGACCTTTGCAAAATGGCATGGACACAGAAAAGTCGTGCAGAGCCTGATAAGAGGAGTTTATTTCTTTCCACCTTCTCGCTGATGTCCTGGGGAAGTGCTGAGCTGGCTCGTGCTTCGTCTCCCCTGCAGCTCGAATGATTCTTTCCTTGGCTCTCTTTTTAGGTTTTAATTCGACTCCCTTCATACTAGCCTCACCCAGGCCTTATTCTAATAGGTGTTGGGAACTGTTCTTAGGTTCCGTGCCATGTGCAAGGAGAGCAAGAGGAGACAGCACTCTGCAGAGGCCCTTGGGAACCAGGTGTCCAGCTGGGGCCAGTGGAGGTCAAGCCTGAGTGGGGGATGCCCCATGGGGAAGGAGTTCAAGGCCTCAACCAAGGCACCGAGGAGCAGCTCAGTCAGGACCCTGGAGATGGAACACGGGCCTTCCAGGAGCAGGGTAAGATGCAGACACTAAGGAGGTGAGAGCACAGAAGACAGTGCGTTGTGCCCTCCCCTCCCGTCTTCCTTTTCAAACCCAGCAATTGATAAACTAAGTTACCTGCGAGGTGTAATTCTGGGTTTTGATGGCTACTTCCTTGACTTCAGTAGTTAACAGATGAAGTGAAATTGTTTTCTATACCCTGACTCTCCGATTTCTGCAGGGGATATCTGAGGTCATGCTCGCATATCATTTCTTCTCTTCTTTCCCTCACACACCTTCTAGAAACCACCAGGAAATATGCAGCTGACATGTAGGAATATTTTTTAAGTGGGCAGACAAATCGTATCCTTAAAAGTTATATATGACTTTTTTGTTATTGACTCTCAAAGGGGGTTGTTCCCAGAGTGTGACCAGGGAGCGTGAATAGCCTTCAAGGGACAGAGAATGTTGGGTTGGGACCATCTTCCCAGCTGAGGGTAGGGGACACTGAAACCCCTGTCTGTCTAGAGTCTCCTTACGGTTCCTGGGGTTCTGTGTGTCAGGCAGTGGACATCTTTGAACACGCTAACTGCAAGACAGCACTAATCCTTCTCATGCTTCTTTTCCCCTGCTCAGCTTTGCCAATTCTTCAGGCTGGTCCTGGCCTCCCCCCAGTGAACACCAGAGCGCAAGAGATGGCAGCTGGGTTCCTTACAGCTGGATCCCAGGTGAGCTGTGCCCCTGCCCTTCTGGGGACCATGACGTTGCTCTGAATGAGGTTCACCTTCCCCAGATTTCTCTGCACAACAGAATGCCATCCACAAAGTTGAATTATTCTCATGTTCTTGTTCACATGGACATGACAACTTCATTTTCTCCATTTTTCCATCCTCAGTTGTTAATTTGAGTTGTTATGCCTGGATGTTAGGTCCAGTTCACTTGTTTGTATTGCTCTTTGCCCTTTTTTTTTTTTTTTTTGAGGAAGATTAGCCCTGAGCTAACATCTGCCGTCAATCCTCCTCTTTTTGCTGAGGATGCTTGGCCCTGAGCTAACATCCGTGCCCATCTTCCTCTACTTTATATGGGGGATGCCTGCACAGCATGGCTTGATACACAGTGTGTAGGTCTGCACCCGGGATGTGAAGTGGCAAACCCAGGGCCGCTGCAGCGGAACGTGCGAACTTAACCACTGTGCCACCGGGCCAGCCTCGTGACTTTTTTTTTTGGTTGACCTAGTATTACTCTGTTAATTGTGAGGAGGAAGACGTTATTGACAGAAACCCCACAGGTGTGATCTAGGCCATGGTTTTTGGCCAGGACATCAGTAACCCTTTGTGGACAGCTTTTGTGGGGATACTTCTGCTCTGCTCTTCCTCTGGACCCCTTCCTCCCCTCATGTCAGCAGGAATGTAGCTGACTCATGGGGGCTCCAGGGGCACTGAGCAGAGTGGTCTCCCTGGCCCCTGCTCTGACTCCACCAGGAGTTCTGGCCTTGTTTGCGCTTGTTGATCTGACACGAATGGGGATAATGAGAGCACAGATTGGGCACTCTTGCCGCGTGCATGGGATGCTGGGCATTACCAGGGAGGTGGAGGTGGTGGATTTCTAGCGTGACACCTTTCTGAAGGGGACAATGAGTCTTAAAGTGAAGAGTTCCTTGTAGAAGGAAAAAAGAAGCAAGTCAAGTCTGATCTAGCTAAAGCAGTATTGAGCAAGGCCTGGTGCCTGTGCAATTTCCTGTCCTGTTTTCCAAGGACGTGGTTTGAGGAGGTGAAGAATGACAGCAGTGTATTTTAATTTGTCAGACCCTCCCCTTCTGCCATCATGGTTCTTTGTCATGGTGTCATGAATGGAGATGCATTTATTTTACCAAGGCCTTGTTCTCAAGACAGAACTTGCCCAAATGTTTACTTAACTCTTAGGGAAATCAGTTCCAAATGAGGGGTAAATAGCAGCTCCCAGGCTCACAGGGTCACTTAAGCTAGAAGATTGAGTGGAGGAGATCACAGTGTGGAAATTGGATGCTTGGTTGTTAGGGCACAAGCTAAGCTGCTGCAGCAAAGACAAAAATACAGTGGCTCAAACAGTTCCTTACTTCTCAGTCGTTCAACTGTCGAGGGGTACCCGTCTAGGGACCCAGGTCCTTCCAGTCTTCTTGCTCTGTTCTTCCCTAGTGTGTCCCCTGTGGTCTCTCCTGCATTTAGACTGCTCCTACTTTGGGATTATTTGTTTATCCATAGCAATTTCCTGTTGTTTCAGGGGTTGGGCCCATTTAAGGATATGGCCCTGGCCTTCCCCGAGGAGGAGTGGAGGCACATGACCCCAGCCCAGATAGACTGTTTTGGGGAATATGTGGAACCGCAGGACTGCAGGGTCTCACCTCCAGGTAAGACTGTTTCCATCCCACTGGTAAGAAACTGAGGGGTTTTGAAAGCTGAGTCGGGATTCTTCCCCTGCCTCGGATTTCAGAACCTGGTGCTACTGACAAAGGAAGGAGATTTCATGGCTGACGGTTAGACAGCTCCAGGGAAAGAGCATGGACCAGCAGTGTAAGGATCTGGCTGGGTGCTTTCCTGTGTCAGGAGAGGAGTGGCCAAGTCGGGGAGAAAACACCAGGTAGTTATTCTGGCCATGACGAGACAGGTTGGTCATTAGTTCCCTGAACATCTACTCTGTGTCTGTGATTGAAGGGCATCAAGGGCTAGAGAACAAGAGAAGCATCAGAAAAAGGGTCCTCTGATCTCCTTCATTCGGCGAGTACTCCTTCCTGTGAGCAGGCCCCACGTTAGTAGCTTTGTGTTGGGGCGGGACTAGCATGTGTGAGACCTTCGGAGCACGCAGTGTGTGTGTAGAGGAGGGCACGAGGACACACAGTAGGACTCTAGAAACGGGAGAGGTCAGGGTGGGCCTGTGTCACAGAGCAAGCAGAGCCTTTTTTGGGCCCATCTCAAGTGGTGGCTGGGTTTTACCTGGGGTTGGCAGCAGTGAGGACATGGTCATCGTACACGAAAGGAGCTCATAGGAGGAGCAAGAGCAGCAAGAGAAAAGAGGAGGAAGGAAGAGTGAGCGACAGGAAGTGCAGGGTGAGGGCCCCGTGGGGAGAGCTGCAGGGGCGCTGCAGGGGTTGGGCACTGGTAGAGTGAAGAGCAGTGTGGAAATCTGTGGGTTGAAAGGAGGGAACGGTGGGGAGAGGAACAGACACGTGGCTGGTGCTGGCCCGCTCTTTCATTCCCTCTATTTGTCTTCCTTTTATAACTTCTTTGTAAGTTCGTTGCTGACTCCTCCGCTGTACTGACCCCACCTGGTCTTCTCTTACCTCAGGATGTTGAGGGTTGAGTGAGAGTATCATTGTACCTCCTTCAGGACATGAGACAAGGCATCCTGGCTCCGCCACTTGCTAACTGTGACCTTGGGCATCTCATGTGACCTTTTCAGGTCTCAGTTTCCTCAGTCCTGAAACAGGGATATTCATAGAACACTGTCTTCTGGCGTTGTGAAGATTAAATGAGACGATAAATCTAAACATTTGGTAAACAAGGTAGTGTTAGATTCTTTTATTAGTCATATAAATATTATTAAGTGATTATTCTACAAGTCAGTCAGCATTCATTTAGTCACCCAAAAAATATTTATTTGGCACTTACCTTGTGGCCATCACTTTACTAATCACTCTGAGGAGTTAAAATTAAAGGCGCTTGCCTCTGCAGTGCTGCTGAAGAGCCCAAGGGCATGTAATGGTGGTCATTACAGAGTGGTGCAGGGGCAGTAGTGGAAGGGGCTTAGGAGACCTGGGCCCAGTACAACGGTGTCACACCATGACAAGGAGGTGTAAGATTTCTGTAATGGTAAAGGATGTGGAAACCCTCAGAGACAACCGCACAGCACAGCAGCTTGTGCAACGTGCCCATGTCCCACCTGGAGGTACCAGCATCCCAGCGCCTTAGTCTCCTTCAGGGATGTATCTCTGCCAGCACTGCTACTGTGTGGGGGAAGGATTCTCCCTTCCCATTCCCAGAGGGTTTTTACAGCCTCCTGGCCATTTTTGATTGTTCTGGAGGCTCTGGCGGTATGTTTGTCCTCTTATCCACTCACTGTTGCAGACAACCCCAGCACTTCCCTGAGTGTTTGTGCTGAGGCTCGCTGAGGTGAAGGTCCGTTCCCGAGTGCACCGTCCATTAGCCATCTCAGCCTTCAGGTCTTCCTGAGATTCAGTCCTATGTAATGTCAGCTCTTGTGTTGACAGCTGTGTAGGAATGGGCCTGAGAACATAAACTCCATAACATGTAATACCTAGCTCATATTCACATTTCCCCAGGGTCCAGTTAAGGTTCATGCATTGCGTTTAGTTTTCATTTTACTATTCATAACATCTCAAAACTGGAAATTGTCCAAATGAATGTCAAATTAATAAATAGATTGTAATGTATTCTTACAATGTAGTACTATTCACCAATGAAAAAGAATGTAGTGTAACTGTAGCTACACACCACGATATAGGTGCACCTCACAAGTATAATAGTGAGCAAAAGAAGCCAGAAACACTGAGTGAGTAAGTTACATAAAGTTCAGGAACGGGCAACAATACTTTATGGTAATAAAGTCTGGATAGCATGTTACCCTGGGGTGGGATATAGTCACCGGCTGGGATGGGAGAAGGATTTCTGGGTGGTGGTAATGTTGTTTCTTGAGCTGATGCTGTTCACATGGTTGTGTTCATTATGAAAATTCTTTGACCTCTACATTTATGTTTATGTTACATTACATTTACGTTATACTTGTACTTTGTGAAAAGTTCATAATACAGAAGAATACATCCTAGCTGATAGCTTGTCTGTCATATTTTATCAAATCAGGAGGCATGTGATATCTGTTTTCTTTTTATCTTTTTTTTTGGTGAGGAAGACTGTTGCTGAGCTAACATCTGTGCCAATCTTCCTCTATTTTGTATGTGGGATGCTGCCACAGCATGGCTTCTTGAGCACTGTGTAGGTCCATGCCTGGGGTCTGGGCCTGTGAACCCTGAGCTGCCAAAGCAGAGTGCACGAACTTAACCACTACACCACCAGGCTGGCCCATTCTTTTTATCTTTACTCTTTTCCCCCTTTAACCACCACTTGCCATTTCCTGTTTTTTTTCCTCCCTTGGCTTCTTTGCTCCCTTTTCTCTCCCCTTCCTCATGTTCTGCTATAAACCGTTATTCTATTAATTTAGAGAGAGTATAAAAGTGATCATAGGAAGGACTTCTAGAAGGATCAAGTTGGGACATTTCAGTCATAATAAATATGCTCATGTAGAGGCAGTCTGGTACCCAAAACGTCAGTGACAGACTGGGTTTATTCATTCATCCAGTAGTCATTAAGCATCTTCCCTGAGTCAGTCCTGGGCCAGGCTCCTAGGAGACCCAGATTAATAAAGCCTGGTTAGGTGGAGGGAGCAGCCTGAGCAGGGGCAGCCAGGGAAGCAAGTATATTGGGAATGCAGAGAATTGCGTGTGGTTCACCATTGGTGGAACAGGTTTGTAATCACTGGGGAAAACAGAACATTGTGATGAGTATGAAGTAGCATTTACAACGATGTCACATAAAAATAAATGTAGCATTAAGTGCTAATTGAGTACAAATGTGCTGAAGGACCCAGGGTAAGGGAATAATCAGGGCCTGTTTCTTAGAGGGAATCATGGAGTTAGATCTCAAAGGAAACAAAAGTGTGAAGTGATGCGGGGTCGGTGAGCCACGGAGTCGAAAGAAAGATTTCTTTAGACTCTTAAGATCTGGCAGTAGTGCTCTTTTATTTAGAGAATAGTATAGAATAGCATGGGGACAGGACCCATGGGCAGTCAGAGCTTCTGCTGCCGCCGCTTCTGCTGCCTCCGCTGGCATGGGGACAGAGCCCATGGGCAGGCATAGTCGCTGCTGCTGCCCCCGCTGGCATGGGGACAGAGCCCATGGGCAGGCAGAGCTGCTGCTGCTGCCCCTGCTGGCATGGGGACAGGACCCATGGGCAGGCAGAGCTGGTGCTTGGGGACAGGACCCACGGGCAGTCAGAGCTCCTGCTGCTGCCGCTTCTGCTGCCCCCGCTGGCATGGGGACAGAGCCCATGGGCAGGCATAGCCGCTGCTGCTGCCCCCGCTGGCATGGGGACAGGACCCATGGGCAGGCAGAGCTGGTGTGTGGGGACAGGACCCACGGGCAGTCAGAGCTCCTGCTGCTGCCCCGAGTTGAGGGTTAGGGCTAAATTTAAGGCATAGGTATATGATTCATCTCTTTACAAGACAAAGGAAAGAACATGAAAAAAAGTTAAAATGGTATCAGTGCAGGTGGGGTCTGGTCATTGGGTGATCCCATGACTTTTAGACAAGAATCAAATCGGATTAAGTAAAGGTCAGAAGCCACCACCCTAAATCAGTTACATGAGATTGCCAGACAGCAACCAACTTAAGTTCTTGCCTCTGGCATTGATTAAGAGCTTCCAGAGATAAGACCATCCCCCCTTCTTCCTGGCACAGAGAGGGAGGCATCTTCACAGATAGAGGTTTCCCTTAGAAATGTAAATGTTTCCCAACAAAGGGGCAAACAAATTCCACTCCTTGGAGCCTGAATCTCATCTGTAGTTTTAAAACTAACCAGCCTAAAAATCCTCATCATGAAGTAGTAGAAAAGTAAGGGCATTACAGTTTGGCAGACTGTTCTGTAAAAAGGCGTGGAGATTGTCTTAGTCTTCGGGCTGCTGTAACAAAGTATCGTAGACTGGGTGGCTTACACAACAGACATTTATTTCTCACAGTTCTGGAGGCTGAGAAGTTCAAGATCAAGTTGCTGGCAGATTCATTTTCTGGTGAGGAAATCAAATTCATTTTCTGGCTTGCAAATGGCAACCTTCTTGTCATGTCTTCACCTGGCAGAGACAGACAGAGATCTTGTGTCTCTTGCTCTTTTTATAAGGGCATTAATCCCATCACGAGGGATCATGCTCACATGACCTCTTTGTGTGGTACAGAGGGTGAGCTGTGGTTTCTCCTCTTGTTACAAGGACGCTAATCCCATCATGGGGGCTCCACCCTCATAATTTCACCTAATTAATTCCCAAAGGCCCCACCTCCTAATAGCATCACAGTGGGACTTAGAGCTTCAGCCTATGAATTTGGGAAGGGATGCAAACAGTCCATAACAGATGGAAGGAAGGCATGTCTGGTTTTTTGAGTCAAAAAAAGTAAAATTTATTGAGGTTGTTGGTCAAAGGGAAAAAGAAGGAATTGTTAATGGGGTACCCTTAGAAGCCAAGTTCTAACATAAATTTCCTTTAATAGCTGCTACAGAATCAGTCTGTATCTCCTTTGTCCTGTAGGCATTGGGAGCAAGGAAAAGGAGGTGAAAACCCAGCAGGCAGACCTCAAGGGGGCGCTTGCTCGGGTGACGTCAGAGAGGTTTGGGGAAGCCTCTCTCCAGAGCCCTGAGCTTGGAAGAACGTGTGAGCAGGAGCCCGCTAGCTCTGTGGGAAACGTGCCAGGGCCGCCGCCTACCCAGCATGGCGTCATACCCCTGCCTGATGACCTCAAGACCCACAGCTCCTTCTGGAAGCCTTTTCAGTGCCCCGAGTGTGGAAAAGGCTTCAGTCGGAGCTCAAATCTTGTCAGACACCAGCGGACCCATGAAGAAGAGAAGTCCTATGGCTGCGTTGAGTGTGGGAAAGGGTTCACTCTGAGAGAGTACCTCATGAAGCACCAGAGAACCCACCTGGGGAAGAGACCGTATGTGTGCAGCGAGTGCTGGAAGACCTTCAGTCAGAGGCACCACCTGGAGGTCCACCAGAGGAGTCACACAGGGGAGAAGCCCTACAAGTGTGGTGACTGCTGGAAAAGCTTCAGCCGGAGACAGCACCTTCAGGTGCATCGGAGAACTCACACTGGGGAAAAGCCCTACACTTGCGAGTGTGGCAAGAGCTTCAGCAGGAATGCTAACCTGGCTGTGCACCGGCGAGCCCACACCGGGGAGAAGCCGTATGGGTGCCAGGTGTGCGGGAAACGGTTCAGTAAAGGGGAGCGGCTGGTCAGACACCAGAGGATCCACACTGGGGAGAAGCCCTACCACTGCCCTGCCTGTGGGAGGAGCTTCAACCAGAGGTCCATCCTCAATCGGCACCAGAAAACTCAGCATCGCCAGGAGGCCCCGGTGCAGTAAGGGTGCCCTGTGGAACTGCTCCTTTTTTGCTAATGGAAGGTGTGGAGAAGGCAGGACCTTCCAGGACCCCAAGGTGGAGGAAGACCTCATTGGAGGATGCATTCATCTTTATTCACTGAGGGACTTTGGGGGGTTGTTGAGGAGTGATGGGGTGCAGAAAGGCCTTTTGACCTGTTTTCTTTCCACTCATTCTCCAACAGGAAAAGGGCAAGGCCTGGTGTATTCTGAGTTTCCAGAGAGCACAGCTCCTCACGTCTCTTATCCAAGTGGTGCTAACAGCTTTTCTTACCATCTTTTGGGGAGACAGTATCCTGAGTTTCAGCTCAGGCTGAGGTTTTTCTCCTTCAGTGGGATGTTCATATCCACCTCTTGAGCACGTCTGGTAATCAAGGCCAAGTTTGGTCCCATGTTGGCAGCTTGAACCTCGTTTTCCTGAGGGCTGTATCCTGCCTGCAAGATCGTTAGCTCAGACTCTGTCTGCCTTCCTCCCCCTACTCTTTTGCGTTTAACAAATATTTATTGAACACCTACTGTACGCCTGGTCTGGGAATACAGTGGTGAACGAGACAGATGAGACCTGGTTCTCCCAGAACCTGTGCTGTGGAACTGGAAGCACATGAAACCCTTAAGAACTGAGAGTCACTCTAAGTTATGTCTGTGGTGAGTGCCATGTGAGGGCGTATCCTCGAGCTCGCTTGTTCTGCCCTGCCTGCTCGAGTGCTGGATCTTCCCTCCCCAGTTCAGATCGCTCAGGCAGCCTTGTTTACTTTACTTTATTTGTAGCCCCCTTGTCTCTGTAACATTCTACGCTCATCTGTAAAGTTTCTCTATCCCATTATTCCTTGTACTATAACAACTGTCCCCACATCTATTAGGAAATTAATATTTTGCTATTGATCACTGAATAAATGTGAGAGTATTTTAAAAAACATTCAGTTCTGTATAAAGGTCTAATTAAATGAGTCTGAAAGATGAACTGGTATTAATACCCTACACTTGATGGCACTTTACAGTATATAAAGTGCTTTTCTCTGTATTCTCGCTTGATTCATCCCACAAATCTTCACTGAGGTCCGATAATGTGCCAGGAACTCTTCTAGGTGCTCAAGATACGTCAGTGTATAAACTGGGACAATCCCTGACCTTGTGGAGCTTACGTTTTAGCGAAGGTATTTGAGCTTGAGACTCCCCCAGGTGGCGCGCGGGGATGCTCCTGTGAACCCTCTGGACCTGGGACCCGAGCCTGTGCCTTGGTCCTGTCAGCTTCTTGCCCTGAAATGCATTTGCCACCTATTGTTGCTGAATGATCTCTGTCCTCAGCACATCTAGGTCCTTATCATCTGAGAGGTGCTTGGGATCCGGAATGCCAGCTGGAGATGATGAGATGGTGGCAGCCTGTTTTGCGTGAGTGCTAATTTAGGAAAAATAAAGATGTCTGTAGGCATTAAAAAAAAAATGTTTATTTAAAAATAAGAAGATGCAGTATTTGTAGCTGTGTTTCACCTTTCCTGTGTTATTTTTGACATCACTCAAGGGTTTCCTCTCAAATTCTGGAAACTGCATAAGCAGCGTGGACTGCGCTGCAGTGTGGTAATGCTGTGTCTGAACGCTGGCTGCTGATGAAGTTAGTCTCTTGACAGTGTACGAGAAGTTGCTTTATCTTTTGAGAGTGCACTGTAATTGCAGGATGTGATTTGTCTCGTGGTGCCTCAATATTCTTTTACTGGAATGTTTTTTTCCATTGTAACTAAGATAAATGGTGGTGATGTTAACACAGAGTTGCACGCTCAGTCCACTTTGAAACACATTATTTTATCACTCATTTCTTGGCAGAGAGCCCTGGTGTTTAACACTAATTTAGCAGATGACCTCCTGGCCTCTCAGCTCTCCCCACGGGGCTGCACTACCCAGTTTGTCTCTGAGATGCTTAGCTGCTGCTACTGCCCACCAACGTCGAGGGCCAGATGCAAAATCAGCTCTTTTCTTCCCATTTCCCACACAAGCAAGGCTTACAGCCACCTGGCAGCCAAACCCAATGGTAGGCTTTGGCTAAGCCTCTGGCTTCTAGTCTGTAGGCCACGGGGTCTGACCTGGCCTGAGCTTGGCCTTCTCTAGGAGGTCCGTGTTACAAAGCTAGGGGGGAGCATGGGGCCACCATGGGCTGGGAGTTGCTCACCAGAGCTCTTTCTGTTTACCTGGGTAAATTGTAGATGCTCTTTGGTCATAGGCTTAGCCAATAGGCCTCTGGGTTTTCAGCCAGTTGGAATCCCTTGCTAGAAGCTTCCGTAGGAGTTGGGTAGGAGTCTTTCCCTCTTGGGCTCCCCTGTGTGCTTTGAGACCAAAGCTTACGGATGATGCCTCCAAAAAGCCTCAAAAGAGAATTTCTCCCATGGGATTATAGTAACTTTATTTTTGATATCTATTCAAATGTCAAATATTGTTTTCTGTATTTTTCTAGTTAGAAATTTTTTGATAGACAACTTCAGACATGTATAAATGAATCCTCATATATTCTTCATTCAGCTTTAACCATTATAAACTCATAGCCAATCTTGTTTCATCTCTATCTCCGCCTCCTCCCCATCTCCCTCTCTGACCGAAGAATTATGAAACAAGTTTCAAATGTTGCTGTTTATACATATTTCAGTGTGTACCTCTAAAGCGTAAGGACTCTAAAAAAATAACCACAATACTATTATACCTAAAAAAATTAACAGTTCCTTCCCAATTAATGTGTTTAAGAAAATCACATAATTTATTAAAAGCTTAAGATGCAAGATCCACAAATTGCAATTTGTTGCTTTGTTTTCTAAGTCTAATAATCTATAGTTCCTATCCTTTTTTTCCCTTTAAATTCATTCATTGCTACACCTGGATTATTTATCCTGTAGAGTTTGTTACATTCTGCATTTTGTTGTTTGCAAACCCATGGCATTATTTAATATAGTTCTCTCCCCTCCATATCAACTAAAAACCTATAGGTCTAGAGGTGTAACCAGATTCATATTTCACATTTTGTCAACACATCATAGATGGTGGCATGTCTGGTTGTTTCTCGTTACATGATGTTAGGAGCCTACATCCATTTATTGCATTAATTCTATAAATGATTCTTCATTGATTACCTGGAATGCTTTTGTAACAAATTTCCCCTTGTTAACCATTAAGTTACTCTTAGATACAGTTTGGAGAGGGAAGGAAATGCTGGATTCTTCCTTTACTGTATTTCCCCGTTTTCACGACGATGATCTGGTTGCTTTGCTTCCTTTAAAAGTGATCATTTTTTTTAATCAAAATGCATTGATGTGTTTAAACCAGTGCAGTGCAGTTGTTATTATTATTGATGCTCAAATCATTTCACCTCTGGCTAGTGGGAACTTCTTCAGCTTGGCTCCTGATTCCTTTTGACACAACCCTAATCATCTTCGATAGTTTCTTTCCTTTCAGGGATGACAAGATGTTACAAGCTCATCTGGTACAAGCTCATCTTTTACATTTCGTGCCACTTTTGAGAGTGAAGGGAAGTGCTATTAGTTATGTCAGGACAGTGGTGTAAACTGGGACTCCAGGGCAAACAGGGACATTTGGTCACCTATATGCAGCCCTCATTGTGTGTAATTGGGTGTCACAGTTCCTGTAAGTGGGGTAATGCTGTGTGCTTTGAGGGCCTGGCTGCCTGTTGCACATGCCTGTGCCGTGCTGCTGTGATGTTGAGGAAGGGTGCCACTCCCAGGGGTATGACCTTTGTAAGAGAAACTCCTTTTTATCCTCTGCGTGGTGATAGACCCAGGTAACTGTCTGCCCAAGGTCTGTCCTGAGGAGCTATTGCCTTAAAAAATTGCTTCTCAAAATATATGCCATACATGTTATCTGCAGGCTGATTAACTGTGCTTAAATACTTTCAGTATCTCCTTTATCCCAGCCTAGAGGCATTTAGAAGAACATTTTTTTTTTTTTTTTTTAATAAGCTGGTTTCAAGTTCCGTCTGTCTCCATCCTGCAACACAAGTTGACTTTATCCACTTCTAAGACAGGAGAGTGACTGGCAGAACATGTTTCCCTAGAACTTGCTCGCTTCTCAACCTTGGCACTAGTGACATTTTGTGCTAGATCATTCTTCGTTTGGGAGGCTGTCCTGGCTGTTTTGTGCATTATGCACTGTAGGAAGTTTAGCAGCATCCCTGGCCTCAACCTACTAGAGGCCAGTAGCATCTCCCAATTGTGATGACTAAAGATGTTTCCAGACATTGCCAAATGTCCCCTGGGGGGCCACATTGAGCCTAGCTGAGAGCCTCTGCTCTTAGCATTCAGGATAATAGCTGAAGTGAATTAGATGACTTAGCTATTGAAAGAAAGCATTGGGATTCCAAGGACTGGAGCTAGTTCCTGCTAACCTTAAAGCCCTGCCTACATTCTAGAAAACAGGTGTTTTACTAGACATTACTTGGGTTGAATGTAGTATTGCCGAGCAGAGCCAGCAGCTCTTGAAGTACAATCTGGGGATAGGGTCCTGGAAATCTATAACAAGCAACTCAGGTGGTTCCTATGCAGGCGGCCTGGCTCGTGGCTTTGGGTTCCTTTCAGGCAGGCACCTGCCACGAAGCCTCTCCATCACAGTGAGCTTTTGCTTGTGCATAAGGGGCGCCACTTAAGCTCAATGCTGCCAGTTTCAACCTTTTTCCCTCCATAGGAAGGTCTTCAAAGGCACACAGTAGACAATAAATATTTGAATGAATGAAAGCCCTTAATTTTTACCTTTTTTGGTAGCTAGAATCCTCTCGTGAGGGTGTCTTAGGAGGAAAGAACTAGAGCAAGTTGCCCCTGTGGCTCTTCCGATCTGGCAGTCATCTCTAGCTGTTGTGCCACCAGTTGCGGTTATATTGAATTCACTTAGAAATTCTACAGGCCAAAGAAATTCATTTGGGCTTCCTAAAATTTTGTATTCCTGTCTTGCCTCTTTTCTAAGTGAAATTCTACAGGCCAAAGAAATTCATTTGGGCTTCCTAAAATTTTGTATTCCTGTCTTGCCTCTTTTTCTTTATGATGTCAGTTAAAGACATGCTTCTAGATGTGTCCAACCCATCCCCAGGATTGACACGTTTTGATAAAAATTTCAGTAAAAATCTTTTATGACATGGGGATGGTAGACAATGTTCTTCCATGTGTTTGCCACTGGGAATTCCAACTGCTTGGAGAGTGAGGATGGAGAGGGTTGGGTAATGCAGGTGTTGTGCCTTGAGAAGCAGAGGGACTTTGGAGAAGCAATTTGGTTTTCTGGAAGAGCAAATGGCTCCTGTAAAAGGGCTGCCATTGCTGCCACATGTGCTAGTCACAGCTCCATCTAAGTGGCCAGAGACAGGAAATGCAGCAAACCCAAGAACCTGCTTCATGTGTTTCCCCTTCTAGTTAGAATACATAGCCTCTTGAGAAGGAGTAGATTAGCTTTTAAATAGAGACTGAGAAAAGAGGTGGTAGAAGTCTGTCTTCGCTGCCTTTTTTTTTTTTTTTTTTTTAAGATTGGCACCTGGGCTAACAACTGTTGCCAATCTTCTTTTTTTTTTTGAAGGATTGCGTCTTTGCCTTCTTGACTCCCACCTCCAGGAGCCATTTCAGTATTATACTATCTCCATGTCTGTGAAAAATGTTAAGTGAATCTGGGTAAAGGATATATGGATATTTTGCCCTATTCTTATTGCAACTTTTCTGTAAGCTTGAAATTATTTTCATATAAAAATTTAAAATGTAAAAAAAGAGAAGAATCAACAGGATTTACTAGTTATTATTGTGGGAGGAAAAGTGTTCCAAGCCCTTGTCAGGTGATAATTGCCCTGAGATGGGAGTGGGAGAGCGATGCAGCGTGTAACTAAGGAGATGTACCGATTTAGTCACACCTTGTCTTGCACAAGAACTGCAGGTTCATTCCCATCCTGTTTTCACTGTTTGCACGGTTGCCAAAGCTCGTTCACATGTTGACTGAGAGGACTGGTGCTGGCAGCTTCCTTCCTTTCTGGAAAGTCCCATTTTCAGTGGCTCTCTTCTTCCTTCGTCTTGGTTTTGTGTTGGTGTCCTCACAGAATACTTTCAACTCGCCAGCTGACCATTTGCTTAAGGCTTTGTGGGCTTTATAGCTGCCTTCAGTTATGTTACATGTCCTGTCCCAAATTAGAGACCATCCTTCTAAAAACTGCTGGTCTTAGGCCATTGCTTCAGTGAGCATCTTTGGTAATTAATTTATGTTCTGCTTAATGCACATACGCAGATATCTGTGTAGGCATTCAATCTCACAGTGTTTTGGAATTATTTATTTCACAATTTGTAATTGGTGCTCAAGACAGACCTCTACAATGGCAAAACTGATGATCAAATAAATGAAATCTGGAGCAGTAACTGGTTTGGGCAGCAATGAGTTAAAAAAGTCTAATTTTAGGATTATTGGATATGAAATAACAGTTATTCGGTGTCGGGGACTGGTCTTTAGATGGCAGGTCAGGCTTGAAAGCCCAGTTTTATTTTCTGTAAATTCAGCTGATGTGCTGGGAATTAGGCACCCAGAAAGCCTTAGCTCAGCACCCCTAGTGTGTTTGAGAGTTTAGGTACCACCCAGTGACCGTGGGTGCACATCTGGGAGCTCCCCCAACACCAGGCCCTAAGGAACCTCACAGGAGCTCAGCTCCAGCCCACATCCAATATCTTCGGGTACTGTTAGATGAGCAGGAGCGGTTACACCCAGAGACCCACAACATTCCGGTGTTCTCACCGTTCCCTAGCTTCTCTGCCCTCGCCCACTCCACAGGTGCCCCAGATACCTCTCTGGGAAATCGCACCTGGCTCTGATCACACCTCTGCGTTGAAGTACTTTATAGTTCAGGAAACTCAGGGGAGCAGTAGGGCAGGTAACTAGATGGCAAGGGGTTTGACTCTAGAGGATCATTTCTTCATAGAGTAATGGCACCTGATTCAAAAGACATAATCCAGCTCCATTGCCTTAGAACTTTCCCTTGCTTTCCATGATACTGCAGAGGACATTGCTGCCTCTGGGTGACACTCAACACTCAGTAAAACCAGCTCAATCAGCATGCTGATTTGTATTTACAGCTTTGCTGGTGGTGGAGTCTGCAAGTCCCTCAGTCAAACTTAGTGCTCACAATGAAAACTATCCTTAGGATATTCCAGATCGAGGTTTTGTCCTTCTTGCTGTTAGATTAATTAAAGAGGGAGACCCTTAGGTTGAGGTGGTTCTGATACCTTGGTAGCCTATGTAAGCAAACCAAAACGTAAGCTTGTAAATGCCTCAAGGTTAAGAAATTGAAACTTAGGGACAGCCCACCACAAACAGCCAACTAGGCTTTCTCATGAGGCATCCTTAAGCTGCAGCCAGATAATTCCCTTGCTTTGCCTCCGTGTCTTCTCTATAAAGGTCTTGCCCCTACCTCCTGTGGGTGGAGCACCACTTCTGGTTTTTTCCGGTTTGATGCTGCCTGACTGGAATCAGTTTTTGCTTAAATAATCTCTTAAAATTTTTAATATGCTTCATTGTCTTGTAACAATGCTTTTCAACAGAGATTCTCAGAGTGTTACCTGAAGACCGCTTACGTCAAAATCACCTGGGGAACTTGTTGAGCATGTATTTGGGGATGGAGCAGTTTTCCACCGGGACTTAGGAATCTGCATTTTACCCAACTCCTCAGCTGATAGTAATGCACCTAAATTTCGAGGACGATTGCTCTACCTTGTGGAACACTGTGAACACAACCTGAAGTCGTCCCCACGAGCCCAAAGCAGATCGGAGATGGCCGTGGAGATAAGCAGCCAGGAAAGATCTTCCTAGCAAAGCGCTGTTTTACTGCTTTCAGCTGGGAGCCGTTGTAACACACGAATCTCTTCAACGATACAGGATAGTTACATCCTCATCTCTCACTAGAAAAAGACTTCGAGTTTTTCGTTTGGTAGAAATCCATTCACTGCTGTCTCAGCACTCAGCACAATGGCCAGCTTATTAAAGGTGCTTAATAAATATTTCTTCAATGAATCCGTGCCCTTTGTAGTGGTTAGCTGAGGTCTCCTTCTCTGCCTGGTGCCCCCTCCCTAATTTTCTTGGTTGTCATTGCTCTACTCCACTTTCACGTTCTCGTAGTTGGGGAGGCAGGTGAAGTTCTTTCCTTGGGGCATCCCAAGAGTGCAGCTCTGTGGAAAATGCATGAATTCTGATAGACATGAGGTGGTGCTTATCCATGACTAAGTGCTGGGCTGGGCATGGAGAGCACAGCAAAGCAGGTGTGATGGAGCTGGGAGAGGCGAGTGTGGCAGAGGATTCAACAGAAACTCTTTTAACAGAACGATATCTGTAAATTGTTCTGAAATCTGTGTCAGTAAGACTTAGCTTTAACAATATCCTTTTAAGCAAACTGATAGCTCTTTGTTTTGCATAACTGTAGAGGAGAACTCAGAAGGGGTTGAGGGCATCGATGGGGAGACCACTGAAATAATACAGGAGAGTCTGGGAAAGAGCACAGCCTCCATGACTGACTGAGAATCAGTCCCAATGCAGAGGCTGGGCTCAAGAAGACTAGACTGGATTCTAGATGGTTTGGAATCTCTATTCAATAAAAATATCTTCAGTTTTGCTTTCTTTTGAATGAGGTGTTGTTTTCTCTTATTTTATCTTGGCTTCTTAGTAAAATGTCTTAAGATGTAATTGTTTTGTGCTTGACTAAAGTAAAGGAATGTCTTGATTTGTTGAAGGAAAAGGAAGATAAGGGAGAGGACACTTGGGAGGGGAAGAGTGAGTGCAGGGCCATTTGGGGATTCCACTGTCACTTTGTGTTGGGAGAGGTCATCGCAAAGGGCATGTATGCTTTATTATGCATAGATGGCAAAGATAATTGTCCTTTCTCCCTCCACTTATCTTTTCTTAGTTTTAATATCTATTTCCCAGCTACCCTCCTACCCAAAATGTTCCATTGTCCCACGTAACCTACTTTGTTTACATGGAGCTTACTCTAGGAGTCATCTAAGGGGAGAGCCATTTCTCTGCTACAACTTTGCTGGACCATTTCATGGTCAGGATCACTCAGTTCATCTGGGAAACACTGATACTGGGTCTTACCATTGGATCCTTACTCAGTATGGATTATATTCTTGTGTTTCCTTTTCCTTTCCTAATTTAGTGAGTGTAGCAGCAAAATAGATAAAAGGAATTAGTATAATCCTAAAATAGAGATAGATAGCAAAGACATGCAACTTTCCACTGAAGACCTTTAATAGAGATTTCAATCAGTTTCTTATCTCTTAGTTTGGATGTGGAGAAATTGGAACCCTTGTGTACCGTTGATGGGCATGTAAAATGGTACAGCTACTATGGAAAACAGTCTGGTGGTTCCCCCAAAATTAAAAATATAATTACCATATGACCCAGCAATTCCACTTCTAGGTATATATCCAAAAGAATTGAAAGGAACTAAAAGACATAGTTGTACACCTATGTTCATAGCAGCTTTATTCACAATAGTCAAAAGGTAGAAGCAACCCAAGTATCCATCAATGGATGAATGGATAAAGAAAATGTGGTCCATCCATACAATGGAGTATTATTCAACCTTGAAAAGGAAGGAAATTTTGATGCATGCTACCATGTGGATGAACCTTGAAGACATTGTATTAAGTGAAATAAAAGGATTAGTACTGTATGACTTCATTTATATGACGTACAGAGGGTAGTCATATGCATAGAGACAGGAAGTGGAATGGTGATTGCCAGAGGCTGGGAGCAGAGGGAATGGGGGAGTTGTTTAATGGGTACAAAGTTTCAGTTTTGCCAAATGAAGACTTCTATGGAGGGACGATGGTGATGATTGCACAACAACTTGAATGTACTTCATATCACTGAACTGTACACTTTAAATGGTTAAGATGGTGAATTTATGTTAAGTGTATTTTACCACAATTAAAAAAAAGATTGAAAAATATGCTTTGTCTTTATCAACTTGGAGCATCATTGGTGACATTGATGAGAGAAATTTCAGTAGCATGGTGGGAGGAAGCCAGATTCTAGGGGGTTGTGAATCTCTCCCTTGAATTCTAACTCATGTGAACAAGTACCTACTTGAAGTTTGAATAGGCATTATCTCCAACTTATCGTATATAAAACCAAACTGTTTATTCTCTTTCCACTTTCCAAACCTCTTTCTACCTTGTCTTAGTGAATGGGTCCTCCATCCCTCCAGTTCTTTAGGCCAAACGGCTCAGAACCCTCCCTCTCCTTCCCTACATCCAAACCATCCAGACAGCAAATCCTGTTGGCTCTACTTTCAAAACGCAGAGTCTGGCAGCTTTTCACTACCTCCAAAACTTTCAGATCTGAGCCGCCATCTTCTGTCTTGGACTATTTTAGTAGCCTTCTAATTAATCTCCCTGCTTCTGTTCTTTCCTGTCCATAGTCTCTTCACCATATAAGAAGCAGATAATCTTTAAAAAATACAAATATGATTATTTCACTTTTCTGTTCAGAACTTTCCAAAGCCTTCCCTTCTTGGAGTAAAAGCCAAAGTCCTCACTTAGCTAACAGTTCCTCCTGGAGCATGGTGGCCAACATGTCAAGAATGCTCGCACTTTGGGGCTGGGCTCTTATTGTTCTCTTTGCCTAAAACCTGCTTTCTCAAGATCTTTGCACAGTTTTCTCTCTCTCTTCATGTGACTATCTGTTCTGAGAGACCTTCCCTAACTACCTGCGATGTTTTAAAAAATATGTCTGCAAATTCTTTGATGCTCTTCCCATCAAGATGTAGAGTCTAATTCCTCTCTTCTTGAGTATTGTCTGGCTTTAGTGACTCACTTCTAACAAAACGTGAAGGCAGTGATGCTGTGTTACCCCTCAGGCTAGGTCATAAAGGGCGATACTTGGGATTCTTGCTCTTGGAATAGAGCTGCCATGCTGCGAGGAAGCCCACGTCACATCGACAGGCCACACAGAGGTATTGCAGCGACAGCCCCACCTGTGGTCAACTGACAGCTGGCATCGACTGTCAGACATGTGAGTGAGGAATCCTTCAAGGTGACTCCAACTCGAGTCCATTTGACTACAACCACATGAGAGACCCTGAGGGAGAGTTGCCTTGTCAGCCCAGTCACCCCCAGAAGTGTGAGAGAGAAATGATTGCTGTTACTTTAAGCCACTAAGTTTGGGTGGTTTGTTATGCAACAATTGGTGACTGAAGTGCAACCCTACCAATCTCTAGTTCCTAACCTGGATTTATTTTTCTTTGTAGCATTTGCAGCTCTCTGACATATTGTATGTGTATTTGTTCTTTTTTTTCCTGCTCTCCTTCCTGCTGCCCTCGGACAGCAGCCCTCGGAAAGCAGAAACTTTGTTTTGTTTGCTGATATGTCTGCAGTGCCTAGAATGGTACCTGATAAATAATTATCCCTCGAGCTCAAGTTGTATTTGTTAAATGGAGGTACCAGTAGCCTTCTGGTGTGGAGAAGACAGCCAGTGTGAACAGAGAAGGTATTGGAGTGAAAGTGTTATAGGACTTGGAAAGTGCCATGAAGATTTTTTTTTTCCTTTTTCTCCCCAAAGCCCCCCAGTACATAGTTGTATATTCTTCGTTGTGGGTCCTTCTAGTTGTGGCATGTGGGACGCTGCCTCAGCGTGGTTTGATGAGCAGTGCCATGTCTGCGCCCAGGATTCGAGCCAACGAAACACTGGGCCGCCTGCAGCGGAGCACGTGAACCTAACCATTCGGCCACGGGGCCAGCCCCCATGAAGGAGATTTTTATTATTCTTGAAGATACTTCCACTTTCTTACTAGTGGCCCTTAATAATGCTATTTAAAAAATTTGGATAATGGAACTGTTTCCCTCCTTTTTTTCTTCTTAAACACTTTATTTTTTAAGTAGAAAGAAACATTCTGGTGTGTTCATAGGATTGGGTTTATGCTGCCAAATCTGTAAGGGTGGCTGAGCTTCTGAGCTTTTTATAGTTGACCTGTGTGCAGGATGAGGAAGAGAATGGTCCTGCCCATTTGCCCCTCTGCAAGCAGCCTCCAGATCAGCACTGGAGCTCTGACAAGGTGTTCATTGTGAAAGAAGGATTATCTACGCTCTTCCTTGGAAGAGACGCCTGAGAGCCAGAACGTCTCCTTACAACCCACCGATGAACAAGGTAAGTTGATGGTCTTTCATATTTATTCATTGCTGTCCCTCTCTTTTTTGCCCTTGCTCATTTTTTTTTCTTTTTACTTTGGAGCCAAACCATTGTATTATTCACCGTAACAGGAAATTAATATTAAAGGAAGACCTCTTCTCCATATTGACGTCAACTTTTCTTCACATCATTTTTACATGTTTGGCATGGATTTTGTCGCTTTTATTGTGGTTTTATGTCAGAGACCCAGGGAAGCCTAAATCTGGCCCTGGCAATCTTCCCAACTCCTGAGGGCTCCCAAAGAAACAATATGCTCAAGGAACAATAGCAAACTGTAAGCCACAGTACTACTACATTAGTGTCTGAGTTATACCCAATAACCTCCATCGTGGGCTCACTGGTAAAAGGTGAGCTGGAAAATAGTTTAGGCCTACCTTGCTTCCCACTTTCAGCCCCAAATCTGGATTGAGAACCTGCATGCTCAGACACGGTGTGGAGGGAGAGAGAGGGGTGACTGGACCCCAACTGGGGGCTCCATGCAGACACATGAATAGAAGAGGACTACTCAGGGGCCAGATGGAAGGAAGGGAGCTTCATCCTGGATGCTGACACTTTAGGGCACGCTGCCCTTCATAAAATATGGACCACTGAACTCCCTGGGCTCTGACCAAGCGGATTGATAACTCTTTTTCCTTGGAGGAGATGGGGAGATATAAAAGGTATTGGTTAAGGCAAAATCATGGAGAGAAAGGTCATCAGTGCTCTTTCTCCAATGTTTGCTGTCATTGTCATCGTCATCGTTGTCGTCATCCATAGCAGCATACTTTTATTGAGTCATTATTTTAAACCAAGCAACATGATAGAATCTTCTGAGGATGAGTTCATTAAGATGGCCAGGACCTTTTATAAAATTTAAAAAGGACCCAACAATCCTGTTTGGAGTGGAGTTGGGGTGAACAGGATCATGCAAAGTGGAGTATGAGAAGGGCTGTAATGGAATGTGAACTATGTGGAGTTCCAGAAGAGAGAAAATACTTCCTTTTGGCTGGGGAGATGAGGTAGCTTCATGAAGGGCATGGTATTTTATCTGAACTTTGAAGGACAACTAGAATTTTAATAGAAATGGGCAAGATGGGCCTGCCGGAACAGCATGAGTAAGGACTAAAAAAGCACAGTGTGTTTGGTAGAATGGCGAATTTCAGATGGACTGGAGTCAAATGGCTGGTAATCAGAGGGGCCAGAACTAGATGCCAGTTGTTATGACTTTCTGTGTGATGCTCTTTTCAGCCCCACCACACTCCTTGCAGCTTGGATACTACTGTACTGGACAAGAAGCCACATACAACTTCTCCAGCCATAAACTCATTTTTGTGAGGCTTTTCCCCATTGTCTCCTTCTCCAGGTCAACTTGTAGAGAAGCACATTCATAAGGATTATGATGGCCCATTCCCTTTATGTTCTTTATACCTAGAGAACCAACTCTAAGTCTAGCCTCTCTTCTCTGTTTATCATCTCTTTCCTAAGGAAAAAAAAAACCCATATAAGCAGGACAGTGTGGGGTCTGCTTAGGTGCTCAGCTGAGACAGTCACTACAGGCATTCTGATACAAGTAGCTAGAGCTGTGGGACTCCACCCAGCAGGATCCAAGGCCAAGAGTGGGACAGCTTCAAGGAGGACTCTCAACCTGTCCTCAGAGCTAGGTTTAATCCAGAACATGGGGATGATGGTTGAGGAAGTGGGGGTGCAGAAGAGTTTGGAAATTGGGATGCATGAGGGGTAAGGATTTGAGGAACTGTGGGAGTGAGTGAGGGCTCTCAGAGGACATCCTTGTGGCATAGGCTATCAGCACAGGTCACAGACTCTTGTGAATTCACCTTTTTCACATGGAACGCACAGCCTTTTCAACCCTCTCCAGAAGATCTGCAGGTAAAGCTCATTTGCATCTGTTTATGTGGTTCTATCTTTAGGGGAGAGTTTATTCCCCTCTCAGTAGTCTGGATAGTCTACAGGGGCCAAGAAATTTCAGACTTGCAAATTACTTGTGGAGCAATGAGAAGATTTCCTGGCTATGGTGACAACCCACGTGAGTGAGGTCTGTGTTCCTCCTGCCCTCTCTGTGGAGCCTGTCCCTGGGGTTCATCCTCTTCCCAGCATAAAGACCCTGAAGGAAACTGTGCTGTCACAACCCACGGGATAAAACCTTCACGCTGAACAGTTTCCATAGAGCTCTCTTCATGTCCTTGTTCCTCAGGCAGTAGATGAAGGGATTCAGCATGGGGGTGACCACCATATACATCACTGAAGCCAGCGAATCCTTATCAGCTGAGTGGGAGGATGAAGGACTCAGGTAGACTCCTGTGATGGTCCCATAGAAAAGGATGACTACAGTGAGGTGGGAACCACAGGTGGAAAAGGCCTTTTGTTTGCCACGGGCAGATGGGACCTTGAGCACAGCAGACACAATGTAGCTGTAGGAGACTAGAATGCCGAAGAAGGGGATGAGGACGATCAAGCCCCCCACCAGCAGAATCATGAGCTGGTTGAGGTGGGTGTCGGAACAGGAGAGCTGAAGCAGGGGAACAAGGTCACAAAAGAAGTAAGGGATGACATTGCTGGCACAGAACTCCAGCCGAGCCATGAGGAGGGTGTGTAGCAGGGAGTGGAAGTTGGCAATGAGCCAGGAGCTCCCCAGCATCAGGGCAGAGGTTTGCAGACTCATCGTGGTGGAGTAGTGCAGGGGGTGGCAGATGGCCGCGTAGCGGTCATAAGCCATTGCTGTCAGGAGGAAGTTGTCCATGTTGGCAAGCAAAATGCAGAAGTAGATCTGGGCTAGGCAGCCGCTGTAGCAAATGGACTGAGTCTGTGTCTGGATATTCACAAGCATCTTGGGGACTGTGGTGGAGATGAAGCAGAAATCCACTAGGGAGAGGTTGCTGAGGAAGAAGTACATGGGCGTGTGGAGGTGGGAGTCTGAGCCAATGGCCAGGATGATGAACAAGTTCCCTGCTGCCCCAACCAGGTATATGACAAGGAAGAGCCCAAAGATCAGCTCCTGTTCCTCGTTCTGGCTGGAGAGCCCTAGGAGGATGAACTCAGAGGCGCTTGTGTGGTTTCCTCTCTCCATGGTGGACTGGTTCTGCTGGAAGATCCAGACCAAGCACAGGCTATAGAGAGGGTGGAGGTGCCTGTGCCTCCCTCCTTCCCTCATACAATCCCTCAAATCACATCCGGCCACATCTCTGTTTTCCTTTGGTACAAACCCAAAGGAAGGCTCTCTACCTACCAAAGGAAAAGCTTCAACCAGGGGGTCCTGTGGCCCCAACAGACCCCAAAGTCAAGGTTTTAGTTATTTCACCACCAAAATTCTGCTGATCCAGAACCCCACAAAACCCCATGTGCCATCCTTCCAAGGAGAATCCTTGTGACATATGGCTGGGTACTCAGTGGTGGCAACAATGAGTGGGTTTCTTAGGGTGTCTTAACCCCCCAAATTTCCATCATACTCTCATTCTTTGAGCAACTGATGTTGTTTCAGTGTTAAGTAAAGACCTATAGAAATGTAGTTTTCTCCTACTCCCAGTAAGATTGCAACCTGAAGGCCCTTTCTATACAGAATTCTGGAACTACAATGGCACACATGTAGAACCAGAGGGTAGTATTTGTAAGTATACTCTTTCCCCACAAACCTCCTTCTCCTTCAATATTTTATCTCCCCTTGGTCCTCCACCCACATAGAGCCAGGGCTCAGGGTGCTCTGGCTGCCACTTGTCACCAACTTCGGGCTACCTTGGTTCTGGGGATGATGCTGTGGCATGGAGTAGGTCAGAGCAAGCCTGGACAGAAGAGTCTGCTGACTGGGACAGCTCAGCCAGCCCTTCTGTCTGGGCTTACCCAGGAAGACACTTGTCTCTGGGGGGTAAGAGTTACCCCTGCAGATAACAAAGAGAAACTACAGGTGTAACGTTGCCCAAAGTAACATAGCCAGCAGCAGGGCAACATATGGACCGCACTAAGTTGGAGTTCATAACAGTTCAGTGCGAGCTCAGCTGAAGCTTCATTAGATATAATATAAATTATGTTCCACTGCTGCACAAGACATAGTGTGTTGGGATTTGGGTCCTGTGAGAATGTAAATCATAAAGAGGGAGGGGAGAAAGAAGGAACTGTTAGTTCTTTCTTAGTTAGTGTTACTGATTAGTGTACTGATTGGTGACTGGGGAAATCAGCCTGGAAAAGCTCTGGGAGTGGGTTTATTGCCACCTGAGAACTGGGCAGGGAGTGAAATGGGGGAAATGGTCCTGTGAGGCTGATTTTGCCCACGCCACAAATTTTGTGAGGTAGAGCCTGCTCAGAGCAAAGGAACTTACCAGTGCAACAGTGCAGGGTAGAGCAGGAATGGAGATTTTGGCTGTGCAGCAGGTCCCAGTTGTGTTCTTGGCCTGTGTTGAGAGCTATGCCTTAGTATGGAAAATAAATGGCTCATTTTGAATTAGTGTTTTATTGATGCGATGTCTTTAAGGATTCAAGTATTTGGCAATCCAAAGGCAGGAATTTTGGGTAAAGGACAAACGAAGATAGAAACACGGGAGCCTAAGAGGAGAGAAGTCTGGTGAAAAGTAAAAATGAAAGGAAACATATTTAATGTGGTTGAGATCTTCATTTAGTCATTCCTGAGTAAAAGGGCGCTGTACTGGGTGATGTGAGAGATAAGAAGACAATAAAGGACATTGTTCTCCTTCCCAAGAAGCTTCTAGTTGAATGTAAAACCTTCACTTGGGAAACAGCCCTTAGACTAGAGAGCTAGCTCAATTATTGAGCTCCTGCTGTCAGTGTATACAGGGCTAGGCACGTGCATATATGAGCATGCGTTTAATTTAATCCTCACAAAAACCTATAGAAGGTAGGCATTAATATCCTTATTTTACAGATGAGTAAACTGAGACTGAGAGGGTTTGAATAATTTCCCCCGAAGACATCAGGATTTGATTCCAGGTCAGCTGATTTCAAAGTAGTGCTCTTTCAATTTCACTGGTTTGGTTCTCTGAGAAAGACCGAAGAAGCGCTACTGGGTGAACTTTAACTTGGGGCGTCTGTGTGCATGGATCAGGGAGTCCTGAGTGACCAGGATTGGGACTGGAGAATGTAGAGCAGGTTTGGTGGGGCAGGGACACGGTGGGAGAGGATCTCCTGAACTGGGACAGAGGACTTGTGTGGCAGCACAGATTCTGAGACTGATAAACACGTGTGAGCGGGAGTGGTGATGTGAGTAGTGACAGAAGTTCTGTCCCTTCCTTGACTAATACTCCTTTCAAACCAGGGTGACTCCATCCTCTCTTTTCCTTCCCATCCTCCCCCTTCCCTTGAGATGTGGGACAAGAGAATTTTCTTGTTACTACTTCCACTCGTTAGGAAAATACTCTTCCCAAGCACTCCTATTTTAAGAACACTAAAGCTAAGAAAACCTAACTTAAAACGGAAAAGATTCTTTCCCCTAGCTCCTGGATCATTACTATAGTTTTAAAAATCCACCCCTGATGCACATTCCTCTCCAGGTGTCAGCTCATTTCTCTACCCCTCCTTTCCACAAAAGACCTCAAACTGTGGTCAGTGCTCACTCTCTACTTCCCCTTGTCCCATTCTCTCATGAAGCCCCCTTTTCAGGCTTCCCAACCAATCGCTGAAGCTTCCCTTGTCAAGGCCACCATTGCCACGTCTGAGGTTAGTTCTCAGGCTCCATCTTACAAAACCCAACAGGCCAGGGTTGGCACAGTCGGGCACTCCCTCCTTCTTGACACATGTTCTTCACTTGGTTTCGAAACAGTTTTGTTTGGCATCTCTCCTGCCTCACTAGTTACTCACTCTTGGTGTCCTTTTCCTGTTCCTCCTCATTCTTCTGACCTCCAGCTGTTGGGATGCTCACGAAGCCCCATCTCTTCTCTGTTTACACTCAGTGCTCAAGTGGTCTCATTAATCCCAAATCTGTAAATACCATCCAAATGCTGAAGACCTCCAAATTTCTATCTCCAGCTTGACATTTTCCCTTGAACCTCAAGCTTATTTATGTCCAACTGCCTGCTCCCCGATGTCTAACAGGCATCTAAGCCCAATTCGTCCCAAACTGGGTAGCTGATTTTCTCCTCCTCAAACCTGCTGCTTCCTCGGTCATCCCCATCTGATTCTTTGGATTACCCAACCCAAAACCTTGGCATCATCCTTGATTCCTCCTTTTCTTACTGCTGTCATCAAGTATGTTGACAAATCCTGTCATCTCTACCTTTGAAATATATCCAGAAGGGCACCCCTTGCTCCCTGGGTCCACTGCACCTTCATGGCTCCAATACTCATTATTTTCATCAAGTTTATTGCAATACTCTTTTAACTGGGCTCCCTGTTTCTATCCTAGTCTTCCTGCAACAGTCTGTTTATACACAGCAACCAGAGTGAACATTAAGAAATGTAAGTCAGATCATGTTGCTTCTCAGCTCAAAAATTCTCCAATGGCTTCCCATCTCACTCTGAACAAAGCCCAAAGTCCTTACCAGATCCCACAGGGCTATGCATGACTCAGACCTTTGCCCTCTCCTGATCTCACTTCCTTGTGTTGCTCCTCACTTTCGGTAGGCTGGCTACAATGGCCTCCTCACTGTTCCTGGACACATCAAGCATGTTCCTATCTCAGGACTTTTGCAATTGTTATCCCTCTGCCTGGAATTCTCTTCCCACAGTCCTTTACTTCATTCTGATTTCTGCTCAAGTGTTGTCTCTGTTTAGGGTTTCCCCAACCAGTACTTCTGTCTCTGTCTTCTCAGCATTTTGCTTTGTTTTTATTCTCAGCACCATTTATGTATCATCTATCTACTCAGCAGTGGGAACAACTATCTATCTATCTATCTATCTATCTATCTATCTATCTATCTACCTACCTACCTACCTACCTATCAATCATCTATAGTTCTGTTTTTCTAGAATATGATCTCATGAGTGCAGGGACTTTATTTTTATGTATCACTGTATTCCCAGTTTCTAGAACCATGCCTGGACTATAGGAGATATTCAATCCTTTTTTGCTGTTGTTGAATAAGTGGATAACTGTTCTTAATGTTCCCCTTTCGGACCTTCTGTCTTTGAGGCTGGGCGAGACCTTGGAGATAGTCCTCCTGCCTCTTATATCAGCCTAGTATCTCCCAAATGTCAGTCATATTTATGTATCGCCTGCCCTATTGTTTCCTTAATGCTGTTCTTTAATTCACTAATTTTGTTAATGAAATTCATTAAAAAATTTGTATATCACAATACATAAGAAAGCAGTGTCACTTACTGGATTTTAGCTAGATACCTACAGAGATTACCTACAGAGACTTCTGAGTTTGAAACCTACTTTTTCTTGGTTAAAAAAGGAGAATGTAGTCGTGCAGAGGAGTTAAGGAAATAGCACCAATCTGAGTATTTCTCTGAGAGGTAGTCAGAAGGGTTGAGAGAGAAGTCAAAAGGGAATCTCATTCTCACCTTGATGTTTGTCTCCTTTTACTACCTAATGCCAACTTTCAGAGCCCCCTAGGTACCGGCTCTACACTGTCGGGAACACTGCACTAACCCATACGTACCTGGACTCAGACACCTATTCATTTAGGTCTGATTTTTGTCCTGATCCTTGGGCGGCCAGCACACGGATTGACCTTGTTTTCTGACGTCAACAGCAGTTCTGCATCTCTCTCTGGCGACCACCGCGGCTCTGGGGTTTGTGTTAGCTTGAACACTCGACCTGTTTTCTGAAAGCCCAAGTGGTGGAGACAATGCTTGTCTTTGGCTTTGGGGTCTTTATGTTTAATTTTCTCCAATGATTGAGCTGTAATTAACTCTGCTTAAATAATTTAGAAGGGGAAATGACAAATTAAAGATGCTGGCCAAATATAGGTAATAAAATTAAAAATAGAAACAAAGCACATAGAAAAAATAATTAGCTTAAGTGGAAATCTGATAATTGATTCTTTGAAAAATAATTGATAAATGATATCAATTTTGATAAACGAGTGAGAATGAAAATTATTCAATTCAATTATAGGCTAATACATCTTATCAAATAAAAATAGATGGCTACTTACAAATATATAAAATATCCTCAAAGATGCAAAAAAATTAGAGAACATGAATCCAATACTAATTGAGAAAGAAATTTAAGTTATTAGATAGTTTCTAAAAGGGCATCTGACTCCAGTGAAGAAAATCTTCTGACTTTCTAAGAACCCATAATTCATTCAGTAATAAGAAAATTAAAAAATATAGAAATTATTGAATATTAGTAATCTGTAAAATGGATAAAGTAGTAATATCTGCTTAAAGGGGTTGTTGTGAGGATTAAGTGAGAAAATACCCATAATGTGTGTAGAACAGGGCATTGCACATAGTAAGCATGCTTTGAACTTGGCTATTATTATTACTGTTACTATCATTCAATTAATTTTTAGAGGCAAATGTGATTTTAAACCCAAACTAAACAAAGACAATGAAAGGAATATTTTAGACCAATGTTGTTTATAGACATAGATTCAAGTGCCCCAAATAAAATATCTGCAAACTAAGAAAACAACACATTAAAAGAATTAGCTGTTAAACTCAAGAAAATTCATTAACCTAGTTTATCACAAGCAAAATATCAAAATAATGTAATTAGATCCAGATAAGGCATCCAGATAGATTTATCATAACCTTATAGATTAAAACTGAAAACGTTAGGAGTGTTTTTTCTTAATACGATAAACTAAAACAAGAGTCAACATCATGTTTATTGAAAACAAACTTTTTCCCTAAGAAGGAGAACAAAATATGGGTGTTCTCTGTTATCATTCCTTATTCAATATTTTGGATGTGCTGGTGATGACTATCTGAAAAGAAAAAAGGAATGAAAATATAACTTTTTGCAGAATGTCTATCTTATAACTAAGCTATTGAAAGAAATGAAGTTATTGCTAAAAATAAAGTTAGCTGAGCAGACTTGCAGGCTACAATATCACACAAAAATTAGTAAATTGACTACTGATATATCAACAAGTAACCACCAAAAAAAAAAAAAAGCAATGAAAAGGTGATTTCATTTCCACTAATGATGAAATTGGAGATTTGGATTTTAATTCAACTCAGAAAACAAAATATTAGTTCAAAGAAAATTATAATGGATAAAGTAAATGAATGTATAAGATAGATTCTAATTGAAAGGTTTAAATATATTTAGACTATCATACTTTCCAAGTAAGTCTATAGATGTCATTATTAATAATAAATTAATAAATATATGCTCTATAGCAGGTGCTGTCTTAAGTACTTAAGCATTAGCGTGTTAATTCTACCCCAAACTCTATAGAGAGGTCCTATTATCTAACTTGTAGAGGTTTACAGAGATTAAGTAAATTTATATAAATGTAGGAATTTTACATTTGAGATGGTACAGTAGGAAACAAATCATACGGGAAAAGAAGATAATTTGTTCAAAGATATTTGTTGAAACAGTATTCTTAAATTAAAAAAAATTTGAAACAACCAAATGTTCGAAATAATAGGAGAATAGCTTTGCAACTATGATGTATCAATGCAATGGAATACCATACAGGTATTAAAAATGAAAGAATGTGTAAACTTCTGGATATTTGTCTATGATATAGACTTTGAAAGCAGAACATAAGATAGCATGTACACATGGATAACATCTATGCCAGAATGTTTGTATATCCACCAACGAAAATAAGATGTTAATTTGGAGAGTAATAGGAACAGTTTGAAGTTTAATTTCCGCTAGTTTTTTCCCTGCTAAGTTGCTTACATTGAATGTGATGTGAAAATTAGGCCACTGTAGGTAGTCACCTGCTCTGCTTCTGGGCCTGTCTTAGCACCAGAAAACATTTTCAGGTGTCTCTGCCAAGGATAAGCGTTAGGAGTGGTTGGGATTACTGAATAGGCTTCCATACTGGGGAATGAGGGCGAGGGCTGAGAGAGGTTGTCGAGGAATCTAATCCTGTGTGACTTTTATGAATTCTGTACTCTGCTTTCTTCTCTGTAAAGTGATGAGATTGGGTCCCTAGATAGTTTCCAAGGTCCCCTACCTGTCTCCGGTTCTGCTTGTCTTTGAGAAGTGGAGGAGGAGGAGATATCTTTAGGCTTATACATTTTGGGGCGTTGAGAGAGGAGCGCCTCCTGCCCCCACATTGGCACTGACCTGTCTAGTTGTTCTGATTTCTGCCAACCCCGCCTGAGGAACCTGCCTCCTCCTGAGTTGCTCCTCCTTGCTAAGGAGGGATGACAGCTCACAAGCAGCCTAGAGCTGGAGACGCAACCCTGGGCCCCATGGAAAGCAAGATGAGGATCAAGTTTGTGGGTGGAAGCCCCAGTGAGCAAGGAGGCTGAGAGAGCAGGGCTCCATTCCCTGATTCTTGGGCCAAGGAGAGGTGTGTGGGCCTCACACTTGGATTATTTGCAGGGCTACTCTTGGCCTCTGGGGAGCAAGACCCAAAGGCATTGTTAAAAATAAAGGTGTGGTATTTGCCTTGGGTCTGGCTGGGCCCAATTCTCCTGAGCTCCAGCACATCATCTCCATAGGGTTTTTCTCTTGGAAAGTTATTGCTTTCAGTGGTTCAATTTGTCACTTTTATCTACAGGGGAAATCTCAACATTTTATTACTTTTTATCTTTAGTCTGGGGAATTCATCTTGTTTATTCCGTCAAATCAGAGCTCCAGTGTTCATGTTGATGGTCATTTTTAAAGAATTGTGATGAAATGCACAGATTGTCAAATTTACCATCTTAGCCATTTTTAAGCGTATAGTTCAGTAGTGTTAAGTACATTCATATTTTGTGCAACTAATTCACAGGACTCTTGTCATCTTTGGGGCCAAGGAGAGGTGTGTGGGCCTCACACTTGGATTATTATAACTGAAACGTTGCACCCATTAAACAATAACTCACCATTCCTCCCTCTCACCAGCCCCTTGCAACCACCCTTCTACTTTCTGTCTCTGAAATTGCATACTCTAGGTACCTCTTACAAGTGGAATCATACAGAGTTTGCCCTTTTGTGACTGACTTATTTCACTTAGCATAATGTCCTCAAGGTCCGTCAATGTTGCAGCATGTGTCAGGATTTCCTTCCCTTTTAAGGCTAATATTCCGTTGTGTAGATATAGCACTTTTTGTTTATCTATTCATCTGTCAGTGGGCACTCGGGTTGCTTCCACCTTTTGACTATTGTGAATAATGTTGCTATGAACATGGGTGTACAAAGATCTCTTCAGG